GGCTCGGTGGCTCAGCCTGTAATCCTGCGCCTTTGGGAGGCTGAGGTGAGTGGATTGCCTGAGCTCGCGGGTTCGAGACCCGCCTGGCAGCGAGACCTCATCTCTACAATAAATAAAAAAATCAGCCAGGCGTGGTAGCGCATGCCTGTAATTCCGGCTACTCGGAAGGCTGAGGCGGAAGGATCGCCGGAGCCCAGCAGGTGAGGCTGCAGTGGCTGGGAGGCCACTGCACTCCAGTCTGGGCGACCGAGTGAGACTCCAACTCAAAAAAAAAAAAAAAAATCCAGGTGCATATAGTCAACCTGAAAAAGGTTCTATGAACTTACATTTCCATAAACAATCTTCCACTATATCTCCCTCAAAATCATCATAAACAATAAATATTAAAACTTTCTGTGAAAAAATGTTTTCTCTATTGTTACTTTTATTTCCACATTAAAGTTATGTTTATGTAGTCCCCCCCAAAAATGTATTCCCATTTTGACTTCTTTTCCTCCTTCTAGGTTTAAAAATTATATAAAAGATTATAGGGAAGAAGGGAAGGTGGGGCACATATCAATACAAAGGGTACCTCATCCTAAACCAGGGGAAGTGAGGACCAGTTGGAGGCCCAAACTTCACCTGCACATACATTACTTATGTACCTAATCCTGACTTGTACCCCACACATCTTTGCAATAACGAAAAAAATTTATATAAAACAAGATTGTAATAACTTAAATACAATCAAACTGGCTATCTTTCAGTGTGGGGACTTAGGGTGATTTCTTTCTTACCCTACTTCTAAAATTAGCACAAGTTAATTTCATAATGAGGGAAAAACACTGTTTAAGAAGAGGACAAATAGGTCCCAGATATTCATCAGGATGGGGACTCATTTGTTAAAGTGGTTGTTACAAAGGAGGAAAAAACATTTATTTAATTTAGTACAGGGGGACTAACTTGGCTCAGGAGTAAGACACATTCTGGATATTTTAGACAAATCTAAGAAAAAACTGGGAAAATAGAGCTTTGTTTCTCCCTTCCAAAGACATTTTTGTGATGTAGTTAATTCACTGTTTCAGGTAACATTTAAGCATGAGCTAGATTACAAGATCAAAAGAATTGATAAGGAGAATATACCGATATCATGTAGAATGATTTTCAGAAATCAGGTTTTGATAGAAGGCAGGTGAATCACTTCACATACTCCCCTTTCTGGCCCCTTAAGAGCTTACCTGATTGACTACTTGCTTCAGAATCATGTCACGATAGTCCGCTCCATTACGTTTGATTGCTGTCATGATCAGATCACACACACGATACACTGTGTCTGGCAGCTCATCAAGAAGGTGGAAGCAGCCTGGCAACATGGTATCTGTAAAAGTGTGGAGTTCATCTTGTTCCAATGGATCAGCATCCTGGAACTTCTCTAGACATTTAGCCTCTTCCTCTTCCTGCTTTTCCCGAGCTTTCCGCTCCTCTTCCTCTTTCCGACAAGCAACTTCCTGAAGGCAGAAAAGGAAGAGTGAAAGTACATGAGAGAAGTGAAGGAGGAAACATAAGATCAGAGAATGTATTTGCCTCACCATATAAAAAACCCTGTACCTTCTTAAGCTGATGATTTTAATCCTGGAGTGGCAATTAGTTTGAGGGCAGAGATACAGGTTAAAATAAGATAGGGAAGGCAGAAGGGAGGGATGCTTCCTTCCAACAACCCAAAGCACTGCCACATTACTTGCAGTATTCTACAACTCCTCCCATGATTGGAGGAGGGTGGGTTAGAAAGTACTCTGTGGCCTGCTCCATGGTGCTGGTGTTCAACAGGGCGTCCATGGCATATTCCCTTGTGAAGCCCATATCCATGAGCTACATAAAGAATGCCAGAGCTCAGTATCACATTATCAGAGAAATCCAAATGCACTTAAAAAAGAAAACTCTTTTCAAGATGGAAACACTACTTCCCACAAAATCATTAATAAAAAATGTCCTGTATTTTCCAATATGGTAAATCAAAGTCATTGTTACCTGGGAATATACAGCCAAGCTTGAACTAATGGCACTACCAAGAGACATAGAAGATAAATGCTTCATTTGTCTCACCTAAAGCTTCAGATCAAAACAAGGAAGCTTGATGAATGGCAAGGTTGGGATGGATGGTACTCCCATGTCATTCTTTACACTTTAATTCCACCAATTACTTTGCAATGGTAACAGAAGGTTCACAGAAAACTAACGTTCATGTGCCAAGTCCCTTAGGATGCAGTTTCATAGTTACCTCAGGTGACTCTGCCCTTTGATCCATTGGAATATCCTGCCCCAGAGACATAGCAATTGCTCTCATCATCTGGTCCTCTTCGGACATGCTGAGATCCTACAGAACAATAACAGAAAACCCAGTAATGACACACCCAAAACAATGAAACCCAATGACACCACCTCAACTCACAGGGAAACAGACCACTTGTGCTCAAGCTTAAGAGAGGGGAAGGGGCTCCAACTACTGTTCTCTATGTCAAACCCAAGTAGGCTTACCTGGTCACTAAAAGAACAGATGGAGAAAATGACAATAAAAAGTACATATAGGAAGAGGGTTTCAATGTGACAAACTATTCTGCAACTTAGAAATGTATGCCTCTTCTGTTGCTTTCTAACTGTGGGTTCTTCTGCGATCAAAGTTTAGAAATTTGCATGGCTGGGAATAGGATGCTTCTGGGCATTACATTCTGGAGCTTTTAGAGTTATCATGAAAAGAAAATACTGGCAATAAAGATAACAGAAAATGAGAAGCAGTTTATAGAAACAAAGACTAGTGACTGAAGGATAAAGGAAAAAAGGATAGTGGCAGTAAAACCAACACCCTGGAAAAATTACAGCTCCTAAGCCAACTCACCCGAACAACTCCTCCCATGATTGGAGGAGGGTGGGTTAGAAGGTACTCTGTGGCCTGCTCCATGGTGCTGGTGTTCAACAGGGCCTCCATGGCATGTTCCCTTGTGAAGCCCATGTCCATAAGCTACATAAAGAATGTCAGAGCTCAGCACCACATTATCAGAGAAATCCAAGTGCATTTTTAAAAGGAAGTAACCTTTTCAAGATGGAAACAAGTCTTTCTAACTGCATACAAACAGAGCATTTATGAGCTAGGGCAGTTAGGTAACATGAACAATCTTTTCTGTTTGGTGCTTCCATAACATTCAAACATTCATGCTACACAATGGGGCAGGGAGCCAAGGCAATTCTCAATTTCATCCTCTAAGAAAATGGGATGTATATGTGTGTAGATTATTATTGTGATTCATGGAATTATTATAATTAAAAGATGAGATTCACACACAGAAGCATAAACTGGTCTCCATTTCTGGCAAGCAAAATGGCAAATAACAAGTGACTGAAAGACTGGCATAGTAATTCTACTACCAGGAAATAATCACATGTACATAAGGATTTGTACACAAGAAAACTATATGCCATAGTTTTACAACATCAAACTGTAAGAAAATTAACGAATCAGGTAAAAATTTTTCTTAACCACAGTACAAGTCCACATACTGTTTGATGCTAATTAACTATGCAAAAACTAGTCACACAGAATTAAGTGACTGAGAAAGGAGACAATGACTATCTTGTGTGGTACCATTACGAAGGCTTTTAAAAAATACTTGTATTTATCACTTTTACAGTAAAAAATGGGGTGTGTGTCTATAGAAGACAGATCTGAACAGAACTTTGGACACAAAAAGAACATACATACAAATTCCAGGAGGAAAATGCTAAAATGCTCTTTGAGACTGAAGTGACAGGAACTTACAAGCCTTATACATTTATTTAAGAGTGAAAACAAAGCTGGGCTCGGTGGCTCAGCCTGTAATCTCGCGCTTTGGGAGGCTGAGGTGAGTGGATTGCCTGAGCCTGCGGGTTTGAGACCTGCCTGGGCAACTTGGCGAGACCTCATCTCTACAATAAATCAAAAATTAGCCGGGCGTGGTAGCGTGCGCCTGTAGTTCCAGCTACTTGGAAGGCTGAGGCGGAAGGATCCCCGGAGCCCAGCAGGTCGAGGCTGCGGTGGCCAGGAGCAGGCAATGCACTCCAGTCTGGATGACAGAGTGAGACTCCAACTCAAAAAAAAAAAGAGTGAAAACAAAAGTTGTGTAGCTGATTATGGTTTCAGAAAGCTCTTGTTGAAGAATAAAACTGGGTCACAATAGCCGTTTCCTTCACAGGTTAACCAGAAAGTAGCTGAGAACAGCTTGCCTCCTAAGAACGTAGCAATGGCAAGCTACTGAGAATACTGTAAGACTTCTAGTACTAACCAACATGCTTAGGAGGACATAAATCTATTACCTATGCAGAGCATCAGAACTACACTCTAGCTTTCTTCAGGAAAAAAAAATGCTAAGAGAAGGAGCAAATGCAAACCATTTCCTAGCTAATGTGACCAGACACTTATTGATATGTCAACTTAGAAAACCCTTAAGCATCACACTCCATTGGGTATAAAATTTGGACCCCCGAGTGTGATGCCAGCATCCTACCTGCTGCAGCTGTTGTTGGTTGACTTGAGGTTCTCGGCGAGAGCCACCTTCCTCTTGCCCCGCATCATCTTCTCCTCGAGATCCCTCCTTCTCTTTGCTCAGTCTCTCTCGAATAACAGGTTCTCCTCGGAGGATGTGGCAAAGAATAGCCAGCATGGATTCAGCCATTCTCCCGCCATAAACCTTCAGGGGTTTCCGATTCCATAAGTTCTTGATGCAAGTAAAAGCTGCCTGTAAGTCATTTGAAAAGTGCATGACAATTATTTTACCTCAATTCAAAGTCCCAGAAGGAATAAGTTAAAAAGCTATATGATATAGTCCTTCCATAAATAGTCAGTGCCAGTAACAAAATGCTAGGACAACATGAGGGAGTCTAAAGAAGTACAGAGAAAGGGTATTTAATTCAACTTGAAGTACCAATCTGAAGTTCAGTTCAAATGTTTATACCACAGAAAATTCTCAAATGGTCTCTACTCCTTTCTGTAAGGCAGCCCTACCAGAGAGTAGGAGCCAATGTTTCCTCCATAATGTTATTCATTAAGGTGGACAAAACAGAGTGGGAACTACTTAGCGTAAGAAATTCCTCTTGGTTTTAGAATGTCGAATACTCACTTTCTGAGTTACCACAAGGAAGCGGAGTGCACTGAATTGTGGAAAGTTCTGGACACCTCCGGGCAATTTGGCAGGTAGTGAGTGTGGTGATTCAAGCACCGTGGTGGGATTCACCATCTTCTCCACCAACATAAGCCAGGCATCTAGGAATTCTCCTGTACCATCCGGCAAGTCTGAATGTTCCAATCCTTCAGAAACAGGAACTTTGCCTCCCATTGACAAAGCCCAGTTGAAAGTTCTAAATTTAAATTAGGAAAAGTATGGAAACAGAATATTAGTATTTTAAATTGGGAAGGGTGGTTTACATCTAAAAGGTCTCCACTCTCAACACTGGCACTACGTGTCCCTCCTCTTAAAGCTATTACTTCTAATCTGTCCAACGTTTATCAGCTCTACTTTTGAAAGCCGTAAAAAAAAAAAAAAAAATCCCCCAAACAAGTGAAACTCAGAATATTCTGACCAAGAAAAGCAGAAAACTAGAAAAGAACATCTATCAGAAAAATGTATACTGGGAACTGGAAGCAAAATGAGAAACAGCAGAGACCCTTACAAGCATACCTCTAGGAGAGGCTAAGTGCCATTCTCCAATGAAAATGGAGATAAACATGGCTAGTTTCCAGAACACAGAAGGATGCAACTAATGGCTATCTCTATGTATCCACTATCACAAGACAGGCTACTTAAAAGTGGTAGGCTGGTAAGATACAGAGAAAAGACCAAACTCTAAGAAATGTTTCTCTGTGAAGTAAATTGATCCTTACTCGAAAAGGGCATTGTGGCCTCCAGAGCAGAGAAATTTTTGCAACATGAGGTGGTAGGGATACTTCCTCTCATCAAACAGCATTGGGGATGTAAAACCAACTGAACAGATGAAGAATGTCAGCCTAAAAGAGGAAAAATGCAAAATTTAATCTTCCCTGAAGCAGATACAGAAGCAATAAGAAATCACATAAAAGTCAAGAATAAACTTTTAACAATGCACTAAAATGACTAACAAACTGACCGGAATGTAGGTGGGTGATTAACATGGTTATTGTAATTCCAAAGGCAAAAAAGGTGACATCTCCCACCTTCTAAAAAATACAAGTTGAGTATCTCAAATCAGAAAATCCCAAAATTCAAAATACTCCAAAATCTGAAATGTTTTGAGTGTCACAGGAACATTTCAGATTAGGGATACTCAACCTGTATACGGTCATTTAACTTAATACAATTTGATGCAAATGCTTTAAAAATTTCCCATGTTCTATACTAGGTACAAGCAAAACAAGTACCCTACACTTAATTTTCTAGAGTAAAAAAGGGAACTCCACGTTCTCTAATTCAGAGATTAAATCTCCATTTAATTAAGTATAGAAACAAAGTATATTCTTTTGCAACTTTCTAGTTCCTGCAACTCAAGGTGAACCTCACCTGAAGCGGGGAGTAGGTGTATATGGTGGGGGCTGCCAAGATAAGCCCTTTGTGAGGAGCTTAGTGAGGGCTGAGGCTGTTGATCGAGCGGCAGGTGTCGGTGCTGTAGTGGTGCTGGCAGCATGATGGCTCCTTCTCTGGCGAACAGGAGATCCCACACAAAGTTTAACAAGGAGTCCAAATAGCTCAGCAAGTGCTCGGCCTAATCTCGAGGAAGCTGGAATCAAAAGTCAGAATAAGGTTGTTCAGTATTTTCAGAATGGTTTCAATACAACAGATACATTACTGTTAATACATTTTTATGACTCACCACTTCCTCTTATAACCCCTATGAAACACCTGGATGTCTCTACATTTGGTAATCCAAAAAGGGAAGTTCCATAAGGAACAAATGCCTCTTCTGAAGGTAGGAGACAGAGAAGCATGTTGGCAAATAAAAGATCATCATGTAAAAGACAAGCACTCACACTACTATAGAAAGTACACATTGAAATCATCTTTGTAGACGCAATCAAACAATGTGTACCGATTATGGAAATGATATATCTACTGGATTATGGTGTCACTTAAAATGCCTACAGAGAACTTTAAAAATAGCAAAAAAAGTTTAACCACTTAGATAAAAAAAATCATATACACTATAAGAAGTCTGACCCCAAAGGAAAACAGACTGCTAGGAAAAGCACAAAAATGCTAAAAGTGGCCCCTTAAGGAATTTAGGCAGATTATAAGGAATTTCAAATTTTCATCTTTATAAAATGCTTTTCAACATATTGAAAAAAAGGGGCAGCAAATATATGTAAAAGAAAATGCATAACAAGGGGAAGGAAAACATGCCTCCAAATTATATTTGAATACTTCCCAGCTTTTCTTTATTAACATTTTGATGTGCTTTTACATTTCTACTATGAATATTTATTACTTTTAAAATCATAAATGAAAATGCTGCAAAAGACAATAGCAATTTTGAACTAAACATTGTTTCATCATGACCCAGAGAAAAAAAGGGCTGGGTCTGAATCAAAGTACAGCTGACCCTTGAAGAATATGTGTTTTGAACTGTGCAGGTCCACTACCACTTATATGTGAACTTTTTCCAATATATTAAAAAAATTTTTGGAGATGTGTGACAATTTGAAAAACTTATAAAAATATTCTTAAAATTAAGAAAAAGTTTGGTATGTCATAAATGCATAAGATGTGTAGATACTAGCTTATTTGATCACTTATTACCATAAAATATACACATTATCTATTATAAAAAGTGAAAATTAACAAAACATACACACTCATACACCATACATGGCACTACCAGCAGTGGGGAGAAATGTAAACAAATGTAAACATGCAATATTAAATCATAACTACATAAAATTAACTACTACTGTAATAATTTTGCAGCCACCTCCTCTTGCTATTGCAGTAAGCTCAAGTGTTGCAAGTATCCACCTTAAAATCCTGTGATGCTCATCATCACATGAGAAGTTCATCTCTCAAATGAACTGTTTATTGAAGTACAAGGTAATCTCTTGCAGATCTCATATATTGTAAAGGGTTTCAAGATACGGATTTTGGAGAAATTCAATTGCTAACAGAAACCACGCCAGAGGAATTTACAGAAGACGACTTGATGGAGATGAGGGCCTGTGAACCAATGCCAGACAATGAGGAAGACACAGAAAAAGCAGTGCCCAAAATCAAACTGACAATCTGGTAGAAGGGTTGATTATCCTGAACTGTTTACATGTTTTCAAGGACATGGACCCTGCTATCATATGGGCACTGAAACGAAAATAAATGGTGGAAGAAGGATTGGTACTGTATAGAGGCATTTTTAGATAAATTTCTGAAAAAGAAAGACAGAAATTATGTTGTCTTTCCATAAAGCTAAACTGAGTGTGCCTGCCTCTCCCGCCTCCCCTTTCACCTCCTTCACCTCTTCTGCCTCTGCCACCCCAAGACAGCAAGACTAGTCCTTTCCCTTCCCTTTCCTCCTCAGCCCACTCACCATGAAGATAATGACGATGAAGACCTTTATGATGATCCACTTCCACTTAATAAGCACTAAATATATTTTGTCTTCCTTATCATTTCCATAATAACATCTTCCTTTCTCTAGCTTACTTTATTGCTATTAGTTATGTTTTTAAGGAGTCAAATGTTAAATGTAGATTTGACTGCGCAGGGGTGTTGGGTTAAATGTCTGTCTTGTTATAAACCCACTGTGTAAAAATAGGTTCTACTTGAGCTGGGGTCATATATCCTGCTCAAACTTAATAAAAAGCTCAGATGTATAGAAATGTATACAGCACAGTAAGAAGAAAAACATTCCTTTCTTCCTCCTATTACATCCAAATTAAAAAAAAATTTTTTTTTTTGAGTTGGAGTCTCACTCTGTCACCCAGACTGGGAGTGCAGTGGCCACTCCCAGTCACCGCAGCCTCAACCTGCTGGGCTCCGGGGATCCTTCTGCCCCAGCCTTCCAAGTAGCTGGAACTATAGGCGTGCGCTACCATGCCAGGCTAATTTTTTGATTTATTGTAGAGATGAGGTCTCTCCAAATTGCCCAGGTGGGTCTCGAACCCACGGCCTCAGGTAATCCACTCACCTCAGTCTCCCAAAGCGTGGGATTACAGGTTGAACCACCAAGCCCAGCCAAATTAAATTTCTTAGTCCTAATTAAGGAACAGGCTACAGATATGCATGTACACTGCTTGGCTGGAAGTTGGGTATACCCAGACACTGAAAACCTAATGAATTTAAATCAATGGGAAAATGCATCAAAACATTAGGGTTTCACCCTAATTTCATTAGGGTTACATTTTGTCAATAGTGCTTTCAGATAAATAGACAATAAAGTGGCTCAAAGATACTCCAAAGACAAGAAGAAAACAAAAGACCAGTAACCACAGAGAAATGGACATCAAACTCATTGACTGGGTCCACAGAGAAATCCCTAAATGCTCCAAGGTCAAAGTGGTATGACAAAGCAAGAAGAAATAAACTTGAAGATCTTCTTGTCTGGTCAATTTTGCTTCAATTTGGGTGAGTAGTATTGGTAGATTTTTAAAGGAAAACAAGTGGAGAAGTAAAATGCAAAATTAATGAAAATTTAAGATAACAAATGAAAACACCAGCAGGGCTCGGTGGCTCAGCCTGTAATCCCGCGCCTTTGGGAGGCTGAGGTGAGTGGATTGCCTGAGCCCCCGGGTTCGAGACCCGCCTGGGCAGCGAGACCTCATCACAACAATAAATCAAAAAATCAGCCGGGTGTGGTAGCGCATGCCCGTAATTCCGGCTACTTGGAAGGCTGAGGCGGAAGTATCGCTGGAGCCCAGCAGGTCGAGGCTGCGGTGGCCGGGAGCGGCGACTGCACTCTAGTCTGGGTGACAGAGTGAGACTCCAACTCAAAAAAACCCCCAAAAAACGCCAAAAAAACACCAAAGGCCATTTTTTGTTTGCTTTTGGGCAGGTCCCTAGATTTCTGGGAATTATATCTTCACTCTCCTCTATATTTACGTTGGAAAGTGGCAACAAACAAAACAGGTTCCACAAACACGGACATTACATTAAGGGGCAAAAGATGGCAAAGACAGATCAGTGCACATTTTAATGTAATTTCATATGCTGCAAATATAGTCTCCATCAAGCTTCCAAAGTGAGTTTAATAAAAACACTTACCAAACTATGCCACTTGCCAGCTATGTTTAAGAGACAGAAAAAGGGAGGAGACTGGGTGGAGTAGCCAGACTGTTAAAACAAAATAAAGAAAACCACTCCTATTTAACATAGTACTGTAAGTCCTAGCCAGAGCAATCAGGCAAGGGAAAGAAATTAGGTCCCCAGACAGGAAAAGAGGCAGTTAAATTACTCCTCTTCACAGAGGATGATTCTATACCTAGAAAACCCAAATGATCCCACCAAAAAATTCCCAGCACTGATAAATGACTTCAGTAAAGTCTCGGGATATAAAAATCAGTGCTCAAAAATCAGTTGTATTTCTATACACCACCACTATATACCACCACATAAGCAGTCTGATAACCAAATCAAAAACACAATCCTATTCATAATAGCCACACCGAAAAAATACCTCAGAATACTTCTAATCAAAGAGGTGAAAAATCTTTACAATGAGAACTACAACACTGCTTAAACAAATCAAGGATGACACAAACAAAAGGAAAAAATGGACTAGAAGAATCAATATTGTTAAGATGTCCATAACTAACCAAAGAAATCTACACATTCAAAACAATCTCCTCTCAAACTACCAGTAACATTTTTCACAGACCTAGAGAAGACAATACCTAAATTCATGCAGAAGCAAAAACATAAAAATAAAAAAGAGAGAGAGCCTAAATAGGGAAGGCAAACCTAAGCAAAAGGAACAAAGCTGGTGGCATCACACTGCCAGACTTCAAACTTTACTACAAGGTTACTGCAACCAAAACAGCACAGTACTGGTACAAAAACAGACAACATAGACCAATGGAACAGGACAGAGAATCTGAAAGTAAAATCACTGGCCTCCAACTAACTAATCTTTGACACAGTGTACAAAAACAAACTTTGGAAAAAGGACACTCTATTCAACGAATGATGCAGGGAAAACCAGTTAACCATATGCAGAAGAATGAAACTGGGCCCCTAACTATCACCATATACAACAATTAACTCAAAATGGATCAAGGACTTAAATGTAAGACCTTAAACGATAAGAATCTTAGAAGAAAACCTAGGGAACACTTTCCCGGACATCGGCCTAGGCAATTAATTCATGACCAAGTCCTCAAAAGTAAATGCAGCAAAAACTAAAATTGACAGGTGGGACCATATCAAGCTAAGAAGTTTCTGCACAGCAAAAGAAACCATCAAGAACATAAACAGACAACCCACAGAATGGGAAAGAATATTTGCAAACTACACATCTGACAAAAGTCTAATATCCAGAATCTATAAGGAACTCAAACGAATCGACAGGAAAAGAAAAAATAACCCCATTAAAAAGTGGGCAAAGAACTTGAACAGACACTTCTTAAAGGAAGACATATAAGCAGCCAATAAACAGAGAAAGAAATGTTCAACACTGCTAATCAGAGAAATGCAAATGAAACTATAATGAGATACCATTTCACACTGGTCAGGATGGCAATTTTAAAAAAAAAACCAAACAAAAAACAAAATATGTTGGTGAGGCTACAGAAAAAGGGAATGCCTATATACTATTGGTGGGAATGTAAGCCAGTTTAACCCATGGGGAAATCAGTTTGGAAATTTCTCAGATAACTAAAGCAATTCCACTTCTGGTTATATACCCAAAGAAGCATAAATCATTCTACCAAAAAGATACCTGCACTAGTATGTTTACTGCAGCACTATTCACAATGACAAAAACATGAAACCAATCCAGGGGTTCACTGAAGGTGGACCTGATAAAGAAAATGTGGTAAATAAAACACCATAGAAAACTACACAGTCACAAAAAAGAACAAAATCATGACATATATAGCAACATGAATGGAACTAGAAGCCATCATTTTAAGTGAATTATCACAGAAACAGAAAACTGGCTGAATACTGCATCTTCCTCACTTATATGTGGGTGGTAAGCACTGGGCACACATAGGCACAAGGATGAAAACAGACACTGGGCACTGCAAAAGGGGGAAAGGAAAAGAGGGAATGCATGATCACCCATGGGGGGGAGATAGGGTCAGGTGGGGTGGTGGTGGCGCAGGTGGGCTCATCAGAAGCCCAAACTTCACCTTCATGCAATATGCCTATGTGACAAATCTTCACATGCAACCCGAATTCTAAAGTAAAACAAAACAGAAATCAAGACAGCTTAATAACAAAAATCCAAGGGAAGAAAATATTTCTAGAAGGAGATCATGCAAAGGACAAGTGAGAAGGGAACTGAAAAGTATTCAGTGGACTTAGCCACAGGGAGGCTATAGGTACCTTACTGAGACATTTTAGTAAAATGGGAGGAGGGCCAGAAACTATCTGCAATAGTGAAGATCAAGTAGGGGGAAGAAATTAAAGAAGGGAAGGTAGACATGGCTCTCAGGAAGGGATTCTCTTATCTCTGTATCCCTAACAGCCAGAACAGAACCTGTCTGTCACATAGTAGGCCCTTGAGAAGGCACACCTGAAAATGAGTCACAGAAGTTTTAAACTTGCTAAATAAAATAATATAGCCTTTCCAACTCAAATCTATTTGAAGACTGACTAAGGTGCTGAAACACAGAAAAGGGAGTGGAAAGAAGACAACTACTCACCTGACAACAAAGGCTTGATTTGCTTGATTCTGGCAGCCATGGCTGGTGTGATTTTAGATTTGCCCTTGGAGTCTGAAGCAGTGGGTTCATCTGTCTCCATGGGAGCCAATGTGTCACCATCTAGCCCAATGCCTTCCAATAAGCCCTGGGTAGAAGCATCCATAGTTCCAGTAGTCCCATCTTGTTCTCCATCTGCAGACATAAGAGAAGAGTAATAAGATGATACAGAGCCGGCACTTATCTAGTTCCCTGCTCTGAAGAGACCCAAGAAAGAGCTACCTATGATATTTGTTACTCCTTAAAATTCTCATGATTTCCTAAAATCGAAAAAACAAAAACCACCAAAATACTGTATGATATGCTCCTATGTCTAGAGGTCTACTAAAGTAGTAGCTAATGCTGGTATCTTCAAATGAAAGCGTGTGAATAGTCTTAGTCTGGGGGGGGAGGTGGTGGTGTGTGTGTGTGTGTGTGTGTGTGTGTGTGTGTGTGTGTGTGTGTGTGTGTCTCTCAATGCAGTCAATTTGGATGCCGTGTGTGTGTGTGTGTGTGTGTGTCTCAATGCAGTCAATTTGGATGCCCTGCTAGAATGCTATATATAGTTCATTAAACTCAAACTGGACATCATAGATAACCACTGGAGAATTTTCTTTCCTAGCATTTAAGACAATTTATATATGAATGCGGGGTGTGTCTTTTTTGGGGTATATATGTGTTCTTACATGTAAGAATGAGCTTTATGTGAACTTTATAAAACAAGTTATCAAGTTCTTAATATTATATAGAAAAAGAATAATGTATTGTAAAAAACTGATGGAAAAAATAATAATTGTTAGGAGAGGCAATTCTTTAATGGTGAATCTAATTTTATTTCTCGATCTTTAGTAAATTAGTTTATTTCCTTGAGTTAAATTTGGTATATATGGACTAAATTTGAGATTCTCATTTTGTCAGAGGTTTGTGTATAGCTTATTAATTTTATTCCATCTCTCTTAATAACCGGCTGTCATATATTTCCTTGGAAATTTCCCTTTTTAGGCCGGGTGCAGTGGCTCATGCCTATAATCCCAGCACTTTGGAAGGCTGAAGCAAGAGGATCATTTGAGGTCAGGAGTTCGAGACTCTCTCTACAAAAAAAAAAAAAAAAGAAAGAAAGAAATAAAAAAGAAAAAGAAATTTCTTTCTCCTTACTTATTTCAGTACAAGTTTTAAGTGTATCTCATAAGTTTTTATACACAGAATTGTTTTCAATGTTTTCTTAGTAGCTTATCAATTTTTATTTCTTTCTAGATATAGAACACAGGAGAAAATATTTTATGAAAAAGTTGCTTTGATTAACTTTAGGTTTGTTGCCAAGGGTCAGAAAATAGCGTATGATTTCTGCTTACTGCAATTATTTTTACTGTGAGATACCATAAAAACAATTTTCTAAATTACTATCTGGTAGAAATATAAATAATGTGAGTCACATAAATAATTTCAACTTTTGTAGTAGCAAAATTCAAAACTAAAATGAAATAGACTGAATTTCAAATATTACTTAAATCAATATAACTCAAATTATTTCAACGTGTAATCAACACAAAAATTGAGATTTTACATTAAAAATTAAAATCTCACCATACCCTTTGATACAGTGAATTCTAGGGATCAATTTGATATTTGTAGAAAACTACATATGAAGATGCTTATTTTCAAAAATAGCACATTGGAAACTTAATAGGCAACGATTAGTTTGTGTACCTTTACATGGTACTTAAGTGAAAAAGAGATCCAGTAAATGTTTTATCTGAGACAGTCACAATATCCTCAAAGAAAAAGATTAGGCTGACACTTCTAAAATGTTCTCCTCACGGTTGAAATACGGGTGATTCTTCTTTCTATACATTTTCTGTTTTTCCTATTATGTATATGTTTTATAGAGGAAACAACCAAAAATCAGTGAAAGGATGAAAACTGAGGACTATGGATGACAGAACTAACAATTTTCAGAATAAACCTATAAAGACACAGGAATAGAACTTAGAATTAATGACTAACATTTTAGTTTCTTAGAGTTACCTGATCTTTTTCCGCCCTGGGTCGTACCTGCCTTCTCATCCTTTGGAACCAGTTTCTGCATATCCGCCTGGCCAAATTCACACCCAGGTGGTAGGCTGCAAGAAGAGAAACAATGAGCAACAAAACCAAAATACTGATAGTTCACCTGTTATATTATACATGATCTTTACCTTGCTTGGCTGACACTATCCCTCTTATAGCAGGTAAGTGCACCTGAATGTAATAAAGCATCTATAATTCCTAAGGTAGCACCCCACAAAGTTCCTAACTCAATTTTTTGTATCTTGCTACCAACAGGAACAAATTTTAAACACCCACCATGCTGACACAGCATAACTGGGATATTAAGTCAAAGATGTACAAGATGCTGCAATTTGTCAGCAAGTTCCCAGGCTAGTTGGTGGGAAAGACAAGAAAACCTCTAAACTCTTTACCACAACCTTCCATCCCTGATATATCCCCTTCAGGCTCACTGAGCTTAGTTTTTCTGTCAGAAAAGTTAACAGAGTAATAAGAGAGACTGTCATTCTTTTACCTGTTTGGGGTACACAGAGAAAGGAGAACAGTGCTTTCCCATACCAGGGAACAGTATAACTGGCTCAGCTTGCTCAGAACACTCAGACCCAACTGAGAGCCCCACTGGTTTACGGAGATGGAACGGATTTCACTCTGCAATCAAAGCAGAAAGAATTTCACCTCTGGGATATTCTCTGAACAAATGTATTGAAAATAAACTTACAGCTGTTTGCGAATAAAGGATTCTTTTTTCTGTCACTGCTACTCTCACAAAGTTGTCTACTTCACAAAAATGTCCACATTTAAGAATACAGTTCCAAAAGGTATCCTCTTATAGAAATGGTCTCTAAGAACCCTTCTTATTTCTTCTGGTAAAATGAAAGGCAACATAAAAAAACCTGTTTTTCTGAATTACAGACACGGTTTTATAGATTCATCAACTACTTTCTAATTTTTTTGGTGGGGTGGGTATTGCTGCTATTTCCTTCTAATTTCTTTACTTCAGGAAATACCTGAACTCCTTCAATTGAGTATTTTTAGTTTTATTTCACTTAATAAAGTCATAACAATAAATCTCTAAGCTTTGTTAAATAATTTAATTTTCAAAATAGTTTACAATCATGCCTTTTGATTTCTTATTTGATTGATCCACAGGTGACAGAGAATATATTTCTCCTCAACAGCATAAAACAAGGATGTTAAACTGTTATAACGTTAATATTTACAATTAATTACCTGAAGAATAAAGGTAGTAAAATTGAGAGCACATACACAAAAATGTTTTCTTTCTGGAACCAGAGATTATGAACTGCAGGCACAGGGTTTGATATAAAGGAAATTTTTAGTAATCTGTTAATTACTATTGATTTAAATTGAGATAAAATGTTCTGTGCCATCCCATTATCAGGCCTAGATGCACTTTATAAAAAAGGCCTATATGTGCTTTATAATAAGCCAGATAAGTACCTGATTGAAGTTTGCCTACTTTTAGTACATCCCCAGTTGGCCCACATAAATGGTATAGATCAATTAATGCCTGGTATGTAACAACCTCTTTCATTCTCAAGATATTCCACTTCACACAATAAATTATATGGCAACAAAGAAAAAAAAAAAAAAACCCAAGGGAGAATGAAACTACACAGCAACTTGAAGCACAAACCTAAATTGCCCACCAAAATGATAGAGGTTATCAAAAAATCTCATCCTAAATCTCACTATTCTTTCAGTGAGGATTCACTCCAGGAGGATTGGCTTCTAAGCACAGCAACCTGCCAAATGTATGCCCTAGGCATTTCAATGGCTTTAAACCAGTATGTTCACTCCCAAGATTATTTTTACCTGTCCAACTCTGCAAGTGTGAACAAACATCATGATGTAGGCATGGGCAGCAGTGAGTGCATGCAGCAAAGGTGTGGCCTGAGCTGAGAGGGTAGCATCAGCAACATTGCCAGCACACGCTAATTCTCGCAACAACACTGAGCCCCCAGGGGATTCAATGGGGCGGTGTAAGGGCTCCAAGGAGGAGAGGATGGAGTCCAACTGAAGGAGACCCTCCTGAAGGACTTTGGGTTCATGTGACAGTGTCTGAAACAAGAAGAATAATTAAAGTGTTAATATAGGACCATCATGTCTTTAATAGTCACAATGCAAGTGACTATTAAATCAAAGTCTCCCAAATTTCAGGTCCCTCACCTGGTAAATGGCAAGCCAAATATGAACCCAGGTATGACATACCTCAACACCTCTTTCTAGAGCAACACACTACTTTCAAACTCAGTGAGCCAATAATACACAAATGATGGCCAAACTGGTATTGTTATAGCAAGGACTCTATGTTGCTGAATTAATCCCAAATTTTACCACCACACATGTGCCCAGTGCACAATGTTAGGCGCAGTTCCAAAACATGGAAACTAATCACTATTACAACGTTATTTTCTGCCTAAAACAAGGGAGATGATTCTGAGATAGGCATCAGTTAGGCCATTTGTTTATAAGACAATGCAAGGATTATATGACCCTTGCGATTTCTTCTTGAGTCTGGAGAAAAATCCGACAGTGAAACACCATCACTTGTCATGCAAAAATAGAAATTATGAGCCTTTCTGTGGCTTTAAATAAATCTATCCATCCTTACACAGTATTTTAGAGGTAGTATAAAGATCCTTTCCTCCCTTTCTCTCTTATGAAGAGCATTTAATTCAATTATTTGCAGAGAATAAAGCAAAATAAAACATAAAATAGTTATGTCACAGTTAGGGATCTTTTCAAGTCCGTAAGCAACTGAATTTCTGATTTTTGGCAGAAGTTACCCTCTTACTGCACAACTCAGTAATAAAGGAGATCAATTGATTTTAATGCAATCACTGTCAAAAAAATCCCATTGGCATGTTTTATTATTTTTTTTTCAGAAACAGAAAAATTCCTCTTAAACTTCATATGGAATTTTAAGGGACCCCAAATAGCCAAAACAAACTAGGGGGAAAAATTGGGAGGTCTCATACTTTTAAATTTCCAACATTATTAAAAAGTTACAGTAATCAAGACAAATGGAATAGAATAGAAAGCTCAAAAATATGGTCAAATGACTCTCAGCAAGGATACCAAGACCATTCAAAGGCAAAGGACAGTCTTCAACAAATAGTGCTGGAAAAACTGGATATACACACCCAAGAGGATGAAGGTGAATCTTACCTTACACTGTATTAAAAAAACTAATAAAAATGGATAAAAACCTAAATTATAAAATTCCTAGAAGACTGGACTTGGCAATGATTTCTTGGATATGACACCAAAAGCACAGGCAACAAAGACAAAAAAGATAAAACTGGACCTCTTATCAAACTAAACATTTGTGCATCAAAAGAACACCATCAACAGTGTAGAAAGACAACTCATGGAATAGGAAAATCACCTACAAATCATGTATCTGATAAGGGATTAATATCCAAAATATAGAAAGAACCCCTACAACTCAATAACAAATCAAACAACTTGATTAAAAAAGAGCAAAGGACTTGGATAGGCATTTCTCCAAGATATACACACGGCCAACAAGCGCATGAAAAGATGCTTAATATTACTATCATCCATCCATCCATCTATCTAGAGTCAGGGTCTCAGTCTATTGCCCAGGCCAGAGTGCAATGGCACAATCAAGGCTCACCCCAGTCTTGAACTCCTACGCTCAGATGATCCCTCAGCTTTGGCCTCTAGAACACCTGGGACCCCAAGTGTGTGACACCATGCCCTGTTAACAGTATTACTAATCATTAGGGAAATGCCTGTCAAAACCAAAATGAGATATAACTTTATACTCACTAGAATGGCTATTGTAGAAAAAAAAGGAAGGAAAGGAAAGGAAAGGAAAGGAAAGGAAAGGGGAAAAGAAAGGGAAAAGGAAAGGAAAGAAGAAAAATAAGTGTTGGTGAGGATGTGGAGAAATTAGAATTCTTGCTCATTGCCAGTGCAAATCTAAAATGGTATAGCCCCTATGGAAAACAGTATGGTGGTTCCTAAAAAACAAAAAATAAAACCCCATAATTTGCATATGACCCAGCTATTCCATTTCTGAGTATACACCCAAAAGAATTAAAAGTAGTCTTGGAAAGATATTTGTATACCCATGTTCATAGAAGCATTATTCACAATAGACAAAAGGCAGAGGCAACCCAAGTGTCCAACAATGAATGGATAAACAAAACGCAGTATATACATACAATGGAATATTACTCAGCCTTAAAAAGGAAGGAAATTCTGACACATGCTACAAAATGGATAAAGCTTGAGGACATTATGCTAAGTGAAATAAGCCAGTCTGCAAAACAACACTTATATAAGGCACCTAGAGTAGTCAAAGTTAGAGACAAAAAGCAGAATGGCAGTTGCTGGGGGAGGAGATGAGTAGTCGTACAATGGATAGTTTCATTTCTGCAATGTGAAAAGTATTCTGGAGATTGATGTACAACAATGGGAATACACTTAACACTACTGAACTGTACATTTCAAAATAGTAAAGATGGCAAATTTCATGCTATGTGTAGTTTACCTCTATGAAAAATAAAAAAGGAGTTTCATTTTGAAGGAAGGAAATACATAGCTAAGCACACCAGAATGTGCTAAAAAGCAACCATAACAAAGAAAGATGATACAGTAATAAAACCTAGCTACAAAGCTTTTTTAGAGATATGTTTTCTTCTCCAATAAACTCAAACAATGTTAGTTAGAACTACATACCAAATTCAGGAACAAAGAAAAAAATACTTTGACTTTTCAATGAGAAATAACATGGAACACTAAGTATTAATCACAAAATTCACTTGTAGAACATAACACAAATTCATTTATTATTTTTTAGTTAAAGGGACACCACAGTAAAAACATATATAAAGAAGTATTACAAAATTGATTTTTAAAAAGAAATGAAAACATTTGGCCAGATGCGTCTTACCAAAATGGATTTGCAGACACCTGCAACAGCCTGACAGGCAGCAGATGTGGGAAAGTCAATAGGCAGATTGGGAAGACCCAAAATGGTAACCAAAGGCAAGAGTCCTTTCTGATTCACAAATTCCTGGCAGTGGTCATCTGTTGTATTGTTGCTCAGAATAGATTCCACAAATTTCATCTAGGTAATAAAAAAATTTGTTTTAAAGTTTGAGCTTGACATTTGGAACTAAAAGGCCAACGTGGAGTAAAGACAGGGGTAGCTTTGCAGTCATAAAAATCAATGTTTTCTAGAATATCAAAACCTCGGGTAAACAGGGATAGATGTATGACATGGTCCCTAAAACATCCAAGAAATAAAGAATTACAACCTCTTCCCAATCTTTTCCCACCACACCACAAGTCAAATAATTTGAAATAACAGAAGTTAAGTGACTTGCTCAGGGTCACACCATGAATTTGTGGTAGAATCAGATCTAATCTCTTAATTGCTAATTTAGTCCTTGCGTGCCTCTCCCCGGAGGCAAGTATTTCCCCCAAAACGGAACCTGGAACTCAAAGCATATTTTAAGAGTAAGAAAGTAACTGTGGGCAACAAACACATAGGCACAAGAGAACCATGTCTGAAGTCTTAGAAGTGCTTAATAGGCTAGAGCAAGCCGGGCTTGGTGGCTCAGCCTGTAATCCCACGCTTTGGGAGGCTGAGGTGAGTGGACTGCCTGAGCCCACGGGTTTGAGATGTGCCTGGGCAACTTGGCAAGACCTCATCTCTACAATAAATCAAAAAATTAGCCGGGTGTGGTAGTGCGCGCCTGTAGTTCCAGTTACTTGGAAGACTGAGGCAGCAGGATCGCCGGAGCCCAGCAAGTTGGGGCTGCAGTGGCTGGGAGCATGCCACTGCACTCCAGTCTGGGCGACAGAGTGAGACTCCAACACACACACACACACACACACACACACACAGGCTAGAGCAAATGTTAAGAGGACTTTGCCTTACTGGTAAACAATTCTGGGAAAATTCAAACTCTTCACTCAGGAAGTACTGGGAAAAAAATTTATGTTGCACACATCCAGAAAATATAATACAGGTTGAGTACCCCTTATCCAAAATGCTTAGGGGCCAGAAGCGTTTACAATTTTTTTTTGGATTTTGCATTATACAGCACAGGTTAAGCATTCCAAATCCGAAAATCCCAATTCCAGAATGTTCCAATGAGCAACTGTCATGCTGCCGCTCACAAAGTTTCAAAGCACGGAACATTTGGAATTTAGGGTGCTTAGCCAGTACTAGACCATCATAACAAAACCCAATCTCACCCTGTTTGGATTACAGTGAGGAATGGTAACAATGAAAAAAAACTGGGAACAAAATGAGAGGAGGGTATCGGTTAATTTGTGGCAAACCAGTCTAACAGAACAAAAGCAAAAGGTTTGCATATTTCCCCTTTCATACTTTCAGGGCTCCAGTGAAAATAAATATGGAAAATACTGGACTCTGATAATCCTACACATTTTCCACAAAAACACACACCTTTATTCAGTTTGCCCTATGTTGACTCTTACCACATTAAGGATGTAATCCATGAGGGGAATAGGAATACGTTCTTCTGTACCAACAACCCTGTTAAGGTAGAAAAGAGTGAGTTACACAGAAATTAACACCAATGCAAGATAACAAAGTAAGGAAAAGGACACAGTAAGAAATTCTAGGCCTTTTCCTAAGGTATACACTTTAGTATATGAGTCTTTAGATTCACATACCACTGGGGGGGGGGGGGGAGGAAGGAGCAGAAATCAATCCTGAAACTAGCTTTCCTAGCCTGACTAGGACTGACAGCATAAAGGGAAAAACCAAGCCTTTATAAAACATTTGTATATATCACAAAATAAACTATCTTACCTTAGGCAAACTACTGTCGGAGGAATTCACCGGTATAAAAAAATTTTTAAAAAGCAAGTTCAATTAAAAGACTAAAAACATTTGCTTAAAGAAAGAAACAACACTCAAGGCTTCCATCCGTAATAATCTGTACTTACAGCTTGACAGTTCCCAAACTATCCTAAAACTGATCAGGTCTTCTGCCTTTTCAGTTGTTTTAATGCTGCACTATAGAGGAGAAGGCTGAAAAATGCCACAGATGCACAAAATACAGCTCAATGCTTAATGGCTACACCTTGGTTTTTGAAAGAAAATAGAGGTTTTTAAAAAAATCTACGCATTATACTGAAATGTACCCCTAAGATAAAACATAAGAAGAAATAAATCTTAAGTAGAAAATGAAGCATTCTGGACACAGGCCCTCGAAATGGATTTCGGCAAGGGGTAGGAGCAGAGACAGATGTGAGAGACAGAGGAAGAAGAGAAGGCAAGAAAGTCAGCAAGAAGCTAATAGTTCTCAACTCTGAGCAAGACAAAATGTGAAAAGATTTGCAGGCACAAGAATATTTGGCAGAAAAATGTAGAGCAAGCATTATGAACAGCTTTAGTGATTAAAAAAAAAAATCCAGAGCTAGGATTTGGGTAGGCTGTCATGAACATCCTCAATGAAAAATGTGAGGAAGAACTTTGTATAAAGGGAGTAGAACTACAGGCCAAGGTTGAAATAATTCTATGAGAAGACCACAAACCTTTCCTTGACTATACAGTTCCTCCTCATAACCACTGCAGCATTCCTTGTTACTTATACCAATTATCCATCCCAGCTTGACCTCACCTCCTTGGAAGGAAGAGACCTACCCCTACAGCTAAGGAGTGCAAGTGTGGATCCAGACCACTGAGACACCTGTCCCTTTGCAGAAGCCAGATATGATGGTAAAGAGCCTAAGAAGTTAGTGAAATGGAACCTAGATGTTCCCTTCATTTGCTACGTGGAAACTGTGGAGACCAGAAGAAAAAGCAAATCAACATAGTTCTTAATATAATGCCAGAAACAAATCTGTTCAGTAACTACTTTTCTCCCAGGCCCTCCTGGCTCCCAGGCCCAAGAAGCCTGGAATACTTTTAGGAATACTAAAAATGATCAACAATCTCCAGGAGAACTCCACCTACGAACTGGTTTTAAGAAAAATCATTCTAATCTTAACCTTATTTGAAACCAACCCATAGCATCTTTGAAACATGTAGAACAGCAGCCTACGTATTTGGGGTAGACTATAAGTATAGTACCTATACTTCTTTATTCCAGGTCTCCAGCACAAACCACATATCTTAAGATCATATACAAACACCATTTTCAAATACAAACTGCTGGTTTTGTAAAATATGAGAAAAGAGTACTGTCTTAGCCAGGAAGAAAACTGGAAACCCAAAAGTCCACCAACAGGAAAATGGATAAATACTGTATGATATTCATACACTACTACTCAGCAATGAAAAATAACAAGCTACTGACAGAGGCAATAACATGGATTAATCTCAAAAATAGAACTAAAGAAGCCAGATACAAGAAAGTGTATACAGTAGGTATACATAAGACTTCATTTATATGATCATTCTATTTACAAATGTTCTTTAATAGGCATAATTATTCTAAGATGATGGAAATAAGACCAGCAGCTGTCTCATTTTAGCATGGGGAAACTGGAAACTTAAAATCTGTATAGTTTACCATATGGAAATCACACCTCAATATAAAATATTCATAAAGAAACGAAGTATGTGTGTGTGTGTGTGTGTGTGTGTGTGGGCATGTGTGTGTGTGTGTAAAGCATTGGAAAACAGATGAAGATATGGGAAACAGGAATTTTTAAGTACCACCGAAGAATTTTAAATTTGGCAGAGGGAACAGACAATACTTTTGGGGAGAGGGGTGACACACATTCCAAATCTTTCGAAGCCTCTTCTCCATACTGGCAGAAAGTACACAATACCCACCAATAACAACAGCCTGGGATAAGGAGATAGAAGAACCTTCTCTTTTAGAATATTGTGGCTTTCAAAATGAAGCTGAGTTTACATTTGTGAGACTTGGATATGTTACGTGAATGAGGTAGTGATGAACACTATACAATATAGAGTGCAGAAAGACACTGATAATATGGTACAGTAACTACTAGAATCTTTTGTTTCTAAGAAGCTACATCTGAATATCTCTACAGTAGAGTATTAATACTCCTGGTCTAGATTTCTACTTTCTTTATTCTCATTCCTGTCTCATTAGGCAGCTCTCCAAGCATTTAAAACTTAAGAAATCCATTAGATAATGCTCTTTATTCATTCTAACATAATCTGATTACCTGCTATATACAAAGTGATAGGACCACACTGCTGAATGAGACAATGTGTCTGCTTATAGGTTAGTAAGAGAATCCATTAACATATGAATAATTTCAACTGTTGGAAGAATACAAGATTGACTTCTCATTTGGAAGTACAAAGAAAAGCAAATGGTAAAGATAGTAAATTATATATGTGTATTTTACCTCAAAAAAAAAAAAAGGAAAAAGCTCCTTTAAGAATGAAACATTTAGGCCGGGCTTGGTGGCTCAGCCTGTAATCCCAGCACTTTGGGAGGCTGAAGTGAGTGGATTGCCTGAGGCCACGGGTTCGACATCAGCCAGGACACTTAGTGAGACCTCGTCTCTACGATAAAATAAAAATAGCCAGGCATGGTAGCGCGGGTCTATAGTTCCAGCTACTTGGAAGGCTGAGGCAGAAGGATTTGCTGGAGCCCAGAAGGTCGACGCTGAAGTTGCTGTGAACGCGTGTGCCACTGCACTCCGGCCTGGGTGAAGGAGTGAGACTCCAACTCAAAAAAAGAATGAGACATTTGGTGGTGGGGCCTGGTGGCTCACATTTGTAATCCCAGCACTTCGGAAGGTTGAGGGGAGAGGACTGCTTGAGGCCAGGAGTTTGAGACCAGCCTGGGCATTTGAGTTGGCCTTGCAGAAATTTGGTAGATAGAAAAGGAGGAGGTAAGATGATGTGGGAATGGGGATAAATGTGGAACATAGTGATACATGATATACCAAAAAAAAAAAAAAAACACCCAAAAACCATGGAGAATGAAGAAATAAGGGTGGTGGAGAAAAATGTTGATTTACTGTGACAGCTTGAAATCCAGGCATGTCAGATTGAAGGTATCTATCTGGTAAGATGTTCTGGTTGAGAAGTTATATGCAGATGGGTATACATAGCTCAACTTACAATCACTACCACAACCATCCACGTTTAAAAAATTTTCCCCATATTTGTAGCCAGAAACATGAACCTCATTCCAGTAAGGTCACTGACAATCAAGGGTGTGGCAAAGGAAGCACTAAGATTCTGACATTTGCAAAAAAGTTTTGCTGTCTTCCAGAATGATCTCCCTCTTCCAGAAAGAGAACATTTTAAAAAAACAGAAGATGTTGCTACAAGGAAGGTAGCAGGTTTGCCTTGTCAGGCAGGGTAAGATATCTGCTCAACAAAGCAATGCACTTAGTAGTTAATGCCACTCTTCTAAAAACACTAACAACCACAGGTTCATTACTATCTAGAGTTCCAAGAGAACAAAGTTTTGGACCCTAGACCTTTGCCCCTGCTGTGTATTTCACCTTAATCTCCTCTTAAGTTCGTTCAGGACCAGTGCAAGCCCACTCATATCCATGCCTAAAATGCTCAAGCCTTTCTCAGAACTACTTATCTACACACCAGAAGGGCACTTATTATGAATGCATGAGTGTCAAGAAGGATCACTCACACTTCTAGCACGAAGGTGATTCAAAAGTTACAGCTACAGAGACACAGGTCATACCCTGTACATAAATATGGCTCAAAGAACCTGGTGGACTATCCATTGCCAGTCAGCAGCCTTTAAGCAACCCTCTCACCTGGCCCCAATCCAGGCAATTTCCCCTTTTTAAACTTTCTTTTTTTCAAATTTGCATTTTTTACTTTTTTCTTTTAAATAAATACAAAGTCTCACTATGTTGCCCGGGCTGGTCTCGAACAACTGGACTCAAGCGATCCTGTCACTTTGGCCTCCCAAAGTGCTGGGATTACAGGCATGAGTCACCAAGCCCCCCCATCAATTCTCATACAGAACAAACCTTGAATAAATAGGAATGGAGAAGGAAAATATACTGTGCATAATTACAATCCTATAAAAGCCTTCTGATTTATCTGGAAGAAACAGACAGTAATCAAATGAACAAAATGAAAAACCAACCAGCAACAATAATTCTCTACACCTCTTATGAACCTCCTAGGAGACAGGCTACAAAAGTGCAGTATGTTTCATTATGTGCCTAAACCTAAAGCAGTCAATGATGTAAAATATCAAATAAACAAAGGGAAAATAAGTCTTCTGTGTAAACAAAGTCCATTAACTTGATAGACCAATTCTGATTCTATTTTAACATCAGCCTTCAAGAAAGATAGCTTCTTAAGGCACAATTTAATACAATTAAATACCAAAGCACAAATGACACAGGGGTCAAAGAAAGAAAACCTATATGCTCTTAAGGCCAGAAAGAATCTTAAAGTGATCTAATACAACTCTCTTTTTGTAGATGGAAGTGGCACTAAGACTTAAGAGGGGTAGCAACACACTCAAGATCACAAGGCCAGAGAACCCATCTTATAAACACTTACTGCTGATTAGGCTCAGTTTCATTTTGCTGGGTAGAATTAAAGCTTTGCATGGCCTGTACTTCCTCTTCCTCCTCATCCTCACTAGAAGCTTCTTCTGCAGCATGATTAGACCTTGGAGGAGGAGCAGTGGCAGTGCCATCTGCCTTCTGGATTGATGGCTTTTGACAGATGTATTTAGGGTCTCTTCCAAGATTACAGATTTCTTCAAGTAACTAGAAGGCACAGGAAATAAGATTACTTATTAGTAATTAAGGAATGGGGGGAGGAAATGGCTAACATTTTTAGAGCATTTTCTATGTGTTATATATTTGCTAAAACACTTATATATCCATTATTCACATCATTCCTAGCATGTCATCATTAATTTCATTTTATAAACAAGGGAACAGAAGTTTTGCAAAGTTAAGTAATTTTGTTCAGGGTCACATGGTTGTTCAAGGGACTGACTGATCAGACTCTATGTACTAATTCACCAAGCACCAGAAACTCATATATTACTTTCAACGATCCTAAAAGGCAACTAAGCAGAGCTAATACATGTGGGGGGAAGGGTAAAGGATAATAATGTTGTTTTCCTAAGCCTTGTCTGCTTGTCCATATCATATGTAAGAAAGCAATATGTAGAGGTTTATATTAGTTAAATTGTTTCTTATAAAGAAAACAATTCTCAATCTGAAAAAAGTTGAAATTAACAGAGATTTCTTTCTAAGACAAACTAAAACCACTATCTTTTTTGCAATGGACCAACCCAAGGACGTGGAGAAAATGAGACAGACATGGTGCTCCTATAGGCACAGTCCAAGAATCCAAATGACCTCCAGAAGGCCAAACCTTTTCTAAAAATTCCCCCTTCCCTAATCTCTCATGCCCATGGTCACAGCCTTATCCCTTTCTACCTTGATGATGGCAGTTGTTGCATCAGTTTTGAGGGTGGGCTGATGTCTCATGAGCTCATCGACAGCACTCCCCAGGTTGGATGCAGTATCCCCTTAAGGCAAAAAATAAACTGTTAGAAACACTGAAGAAAACAAAGCTGTGCTCCTTTCTGTACCAATGTAAGGCATAAAGAAGAAACTGAGCTGGCTGTTGTGATTTTCTAATGACATAATTTCCTTAGTGAAATCACACCAGCCCCCTTCCCTCAAGTCACTGGGGAGGAGGAAGGAATCAGTCTCGTATACATATTTTAAAGAAACTATGCGTGTTGCACTCTACAATGGTAATCTCTACTATCGAAGTCTGAACTAGTACTGTAGAGTGAAAAAGAAGAGAGAAAGAAAAGAAGCATAAGCTATTAACCCTGGCTGCCCAGTAAAGAATGACAGCAGGAGATCACTCAGTATTATTAACCCCAATTCCATCCAGGTTGCTGCGAAATTCATGATTTTATTCTTTTTTATGGCTGCGTAATATTCCATTGTGTATATGTACCACATTTTCTAAATCCAGTCCTCTTTTGATGGACAGCATGACTGGTTCCATGATCTTGCTATTGTGAACAATGCTGCGATAAACATACGTGTGCAGGTATCTTTTTTATAGAGTGATTTGAGTTCTTCAGGGTATATTCCTGCCGTAGGGAGATTGCGGGGTCATATGGAAGGTCAATTTTTAGAGCTTTTAGGATCTGAGTATCACATGTTCTCACTCATAAGTGGACCTTGAACAACTATCGTAATACTATAAGAAAAGGATTGACAGTGGCGGGAAACTATGGGGGGGGTAGGGAGGGGAAAGGAGGTGGGATTAACGGTAGTCAATATCTGTCTGGGGACGGGGAGGCACACCTCATCAACAAGAGTACCGGCACAATGCATATTTGTATACCTAACCTTTAACTGTACCCCACAATTTTAAAATAAAAAATATGTTAGGGGGAAAAAAAAGAATGACAGTGGGTAGAATGCTATAGTGGTAGCTCAGAGAATTTTGAAAACTGAAAATCTTTCTGGAGTCCTATCTTCTTGATAATAAAATCTCAAAGACCTGGCCTCAAGTACACTGAGAAGGAAAGCTATTCATTTGCGACTATCTTAGAGCCTTAGCTATTAGAACATTAGATTACCAGGATCAACATCTCAAAACTGTGTATTTCTCATTGCTGCAGACTAGATGGTGGACCTGGAAATCTACCACTGCTCCCCAATATCCATTTTTTTTTAACCAGCACTGCAACAGTACAACAATGAACTACTGAGAAGCAAGAAAGAAGCCAAAGTATTCCTCCCTACCTGCAATAAAATGTATGGTGATAACTCCCATTAAGCTTAGCAAACCTAGCCAGAATAACAAATAGGAAGTCAAGGAAGGGGTTCCTTGCCAACGGAATCAATTTTCTATTATAAAAATAAATCCTAGCAACTTACCAAGGGGATCAGAACTCCTCCTCCTCCTCATGGCTGGGAGGTAATCTGGAGACAGAAGAACTTTGAAGAGACGTTCAAAAGGCTGACATTGTACAAAAGACTGAAGACCTCGGGCATTCAAGCAGAGTGCACTGAATACATTTGGGAGGGAGCCAAGAACTTCACGGGTAGCAGGAACCTACAGAGAAGACAAAGTGAGCTTGAATGCACATAAAAGAATATAGATACTAGGAAAATCTATCCAGGGTATATCATGGAGAAAATGAAGGAATTTTGAGAACCAGGTCTCAATTAGATTCACACTACATTCAGAAGACAAGAGAGTGCTTTTTAAAGCAGACTGTTGTTGTGTGTGTTGAGAGGAAGAGTATGTGTGGGGCACTCTTTAAAAAGCAGCGGAAAGACTCACATCTTTGATAAGCAGTGCATGCAGCATGACATCTGTCAACCCATTGTCCTGGAGTGAGGAGAGCAGTGATGGTTCTTGAAATACAAACACAGTCACCACTTCAGTAGCTAACAAAAAAAAAAAAGGATGAGAAAATATGGGAAACTGACAGACTCCTCACAAGTATTAAAAACAAAACACCAAAGGCTTTAAAATATATATACTAAATGTATAATAATTTAAACACTTGTGGATACCATTGAAATGAAAGATACTGCTCCATCAGAGATTAATCTTTATTAAGAATTTAGTGACTAGCCGGGCTCGGAGGCTCAGCCTGTAATCCCGCACCTTTGGGAGGCTGAGGTGAGTGGATTGCCTGAGTCCGCAGGTTCGAGACCCGCCTGGGCAGTGAGACCTCATCTCTATAAAAAATCAGCCGGGCGTGGTAGTGCACGCCTGTAGTTCCGGCTACTTGGAAGGCTGAGGCAGAAGGAGCGCCGGAGCCCAGCAGGTGAGGCTGCGGTGGCCGGGAGCGGCCACTGCACTCCAGTCTGGGCGACAGAGTGAGACTCCAACTCAAAAAAAAAAAAAAAAGAATTTAGTGACTACCCCTCAAGATTTTAAGGGCATACTTTTGCACAAATGAAGTTACACTGATATATTTTGCTTTTTCCCTCAACTGTCATACCATAAACTCTTCTCCTTCACTACAACCAATTTATTTTGAATGACTGCATACTATTCCACTAAATATGTACGTACCACCATATACATAAATCAGTTCCTAACTGTGAAAATTGATAAATCTAAATAAGCATCCTTTTTTGTCTGTCTATACAGGAAAAAAAATCTAAGATGTGGGTTTAAAGAGTTAAAATGCACTTATAAAAATGGACAAACGCCGGGCTTTGGTGGCTCAGCCTGTAATCCCGTGCTTTGGGAGGCCGAGGTGAGTGAACTGCCTGAGCCCGTGGGTTCGAGACCTGCCCGGGCAACTTGGCGAGACCTCATCTCTACAATAAATCAAAAAAATGAGCCGGGCATGGTAGCGTGTGCCTGTACTTCCAGCTACTTGGAAGGCTGAGGCAGAAGGATTGCTGGAGCCCAGCAGGTCGAGGCTGTGGTGGCCGGGAGCGTACCACTGCACTCCAGTCTGAGTGACAGAGTGAGACTCCAACTCAAAAATAAATAAATAAATAAACAAATGGACAAACTATCTTCTCAAAAGAGTTTAGCAATTTTAAGCTACCATCAGCAGTTTAAGAGTCCTTGGTATTAAGCAGTCTAAGAGTCTTTGGGTATCAATCTGATCAGTTTTTGTTTGTTATTTTATTTTATTTTAAAGATGTTAGGATTAGGTATATAAACGGTCATCGCACAGGTAAAGTTTGGGCCTCCCTTTGGTCCCCACTTCATCTGGTTTGAGATCGGGCACCCTTATTGATATTATGGGCCCCCTCACTCCACCCCCTACCCCTTCCCTGGCAATTTCTGGCTACTGCCAAACCCTTTTTTATAGTAATTATGGTAAATGTTCAGGGTCCGCTTATGAGTGAGAACATGTGGTACTCAGTAATCTAAGTCAGTTTTGATATTAATAAATGTAAAGTACTACTACTAAAGTTTCTGGAACATGGCAAAAACTCTAATAAGAGGAAAAAGTACAGCATTAATTCATTTACTTGCAACCAAGGCTGGGCAGTGGCTCATGCCTATAACCCTAGCACTTTGGGTGGCCAAGGTGGGAGAATCACTTGAGGCCAGAAGTTAAGAGATGACCCTGGGCAACACAGTAAGACCTCGTTGCTACAAAAATAAAAATAAAAATAAATTAGCTGGATGTAGTGGCACGTGTCTGTAGTTCCGGCCACTTGAGAGACTGAGGCAGGATAGCCTTAGCCCAGGAAGGTGAGGCTGTAGTGAGCCATGTTTGTGCCTGGTTGACCGGGTGAGACTCCAACTCAAAAATATAAGTAACCAAACAAGAATTAACAGAAAAAAGTAGAATTCAATGAAACAGAAAGCAAAAACCACAAATAATTAAAACCAATAACTAGCCCTCTGAAGACACTGAAAAAGCTTATAAACCTATTGGCAATCTGATGAAGAAAAGAGCAATAGAATACACTAGCAATGAGAAAGGAGATTTAACCAGACATATCACAAATAAAATTCTTCTACAAAGCATATGCTAACAAGTGAAATGTATGCTTATATAAGAAAAGGTCATCAAAATAAATTCTCAAGAAGTAATAGCAAAAAACCCCAACCAACAGAGAGGCACCAAGCCAACACTTTTATATGTGAGGGTTATATTAAACCTTCTAGGAACAATTAAGACAAGGATTTTCAACTTAAAAAGACTATAATAACTTTAACTTAAAAACCTGAAACGTACAACATCCATAAACTATGTAGAAAACAAACTTGTTTTTGGTGATGCCAAAGATCTAAAAGAAACCAGAAGATTTTCAGTTCAAGATGGTGAACAAAGCATCCCTCATTTATCCCAAATGCCAGTGGAATGGCAGATATGTAACAATTACTGGGGATCAACAGTTGTCAATGGCTTTTGAAATTCCTGTATAAACTTCCAAAAACTTTTAGTCCTTTTTGGGTCTTAAGATTCTTCGATTGTGGCTGATCACATGCAGAAGATTGAAACAGGACCCCTACCTATCACCATACACAAAAATCAACTCTAAATGGATCAAAGACTTCAGTGTAAAAACCTCATACTACAAGAACCTTAGAAAATGCAAGAGACACCCTTATGGAAATTAGAACTGGCAATCAATTCCCAATCAAAACTCCAAGTGCCTATGCCATAAGAGATAAGATAAACAAGTGGAACCTCATCAAACCGAATAGCTTCTGCAAAGCAAAAGAAACCATCAAGAGAGCGGGAGACAGCCCAGACAATGGGGAAAAAAAAATTTGCCAACTGTATATCTGATAAAGGCCTAACATCCAGGATCTACAAAGAACTCAAACATGCCAAAAGGAAAAAAACAAGGAGCTCCATTAAAAAGTGGGCCAAAAAAAAAAAAAAAAAAGCGAATAGACACTTCTCAAAAGAAGACATACAGGCAAGCTAACAAACGAAAAAGTGTTCAGCCTCACTAATCATCAGAAATGCAAATCAATACCACACTGAGATACTACCTAACCCAAGTAAGAATGGCCATCATGAATACAACAAACAACAACAGATGCTGGCGAGGATGTGGAGAAAAAAGGAACGCTTCTACACTGCTGGTAAGAATGCAAACTACGTGCAACCTCTTTGGAAAACAGTGTGGTGATTTCTGAAAGAACTAGAAATTGATCTTCCATATGACCCAGCAATCCCCCTAACTGGAAATATACCCAGAGGAGCTCAAATCATTCTACAAGATACCTGCATACGTATGTTTATTATAGTAGTATTCACAATAGCAAAAACATGGAACCAGCCATACTGCCCACTGAAACTGGACTGGATTAAAAAAAAATGTGGTACATATACAAAATGGAATATTATGCAACCATAAAGAAGGACAAACATATGGACTTCGCAGCAACTTGGATAGATTGTCTATCATACTCAGTGATCTATCACAGAAGACACGAATAGAGTACCATATGTCCTCACTCATAAGCAGACCTTGAACAATTATCATAATACTATAAGAAAGGGATTGGTAACAGTGGGAAACTGCCAGGGGATAGGTGGGTGGGGGCACACCTCATCGACAAGGGTATCTGCATAATGAACATTTGTATACCTAACCCTGAATTGTGCCCCACATCATTAAAATAAAAAATTAAAAGAGAGAAAAAGATTCTCCTATTGACTTACATTTGTACAACTGTATGAAGTCTATAGAGTTACTAAAACTGAACAATTATAAACTAAAATTAGTGTGCTACTAGCGGTTACAAAGACACCCAATCTGTTATATTATTGGTCTAACTACGTTACATCATAATGTAAATGAGACATTAATAGATGACTAAGAATTAGAATTAAAGGGTATACAGCCACACAAAGCAGTCAGCTCTGGGTGGAACCAAGCAAATGAGTTAAGGAGGAAAAAACGAATAAGCAAGCAAAAAACCAAGCAACCCAAAAACTATGGGAGGCCCATTACCTATACAATAGGGTTTTTAAGAAGGAGTATTTAAGTTAACAGGAGACAAAGAAATAAAAATAATTTCCAGAAATAGGAAAATATATTCATTTAAGAATAAAAACCAGTCTGACATCATGGTTACCCATAATACATAGCATTAGAATACAATGAAAAAACACCCAAGAAGGTACTTCAATAAAATGAATTCAAAAGTCAGAAAATCAAGGATTACCAAAAAAAGAAAAAAAATAATGGACAAGTAGTAAAGGCAGGCTGAAGGTCTTATTTAGTCCAGTTTGGCAAAAGACAGCATAAGATATTTAAAATGTTTAAAAGTTAAAAAATATACTGAGGGTGCCAAAATAGTATATACATTTTAAGAAAGGAAAAATATATACCAATGACAAAAGAAGAATACAAGTCACATTTGATTTCTGCAATTACAAGAGGTGCTCAAAGTGGTTACCATCACCGTCCAGTCACTTTAAAGTAATTTAAAAAGTAATACATAAATAACAATTCTTAAAATATGAATACACTTTTTGGGCACTCCCAGTATATAAGGACAGCCATTACAAAAAAGGAATAAGAAAACAAAAAAGTAAAAAACAACATTAAACACAAGACTTTAGAAGTAAGAGAAAAAACACTGGAAACTATAAGACATAGGACAATGTAGAAAATTTCTTCTTTAAGATAAAAAGACACAATAATACCTTATTAAATCGTTCTGCTGAAAACAAGTAAAAGCTAGATTAAATACTTGAACTTTTTTTAAATAGGCAGAACCAATGAAGCAAATTATAGCCAAAGGTCCAAACTGAGTAAAAATGGTAATTGAGTCTTAGACTTTTGTTTTGAGGATAACCTTGGTTTTCAAGAGTGTTTAGAGTACCTGGGTAGAACACAAAACCAGAGAGGGATAACTTTATTAAGGAGGAAATTCAGTAGTTAAGGGAGTCTTTATTTACGTACAAGTGCTTTCTACCCCATAACCAGGCCATTTCTGATAAAAGATGGGACTCAAGGTTCAGCCCAACTAGAGAGCTGGTTGCAGTCACTTAGGTGTTGACTGAGGTACTGATATCCTCAATAAAGATATGTCCATCGTTCATATTTTTCAGAATCGTGGGTGGTAGCTACTGTGACTTTTTATTTGTTTCCTTGGATGAAAAAAGTCCTCAAAGGGAAATGTTTTGCTGATGTCGAAAAGGTGAAACAATAAAGAGCAGAAGCACTAAAAGGCATCAAAATTGACGAGTTCAAAAACTGTTTTGAAGCCGGGCTCGGTGGCTCAGCCTGTAATCCCGCACCTTTGGGAGGCTGAGGTGAGTGGATTGCCTGAGCTCGCGGGTTTGAGACCTGCCTGGGCAGCGAGACCCCATCTTTACAATAAATCAAAAAATCAGCCGGGCGTGGTAGCGCATGCCTGTAATTCCAGCTACTGGGAAGGCTGAGGCGGAAGGATCGCCGGAGCCCAGCAGGTCGAGGCTGCGGTGGCTGGGAGCGGCCACTGCACTCCAGTCTGGGCGACAGAGTGAGACTCCAACTCAAAAAAATAAAAAAATAAAAAAACTGTTTTGAGCATTGGAAAAGTGTCTTGATAGGTGTACTGCATCAAATGGAGAATACTTTGAAGGTGACAAGCTTAAACATGTAAAAATAAATACACAACTTGTAAATAAATTTGGGTTTTTTGCCCCCCCAACAATTGCTAGTCTAAATATTTTGGGTTGGTTTTGCAAATTTGGTCTTTCTCAAATATAACTTTACTTATGGGAAACGGGATAAATTAAGAGGACCACAGGGAAGGAATCTGGACCTCTCTTGATATCTGATTTAGTACTCTAAGTTTGCTTTCCTGTCTGTGCCCCTCAATTCCTACGTCATCCTGATAGGGCTCACCTGCTCTTCACTTCCATGACACGCCCTAAGCACACCTGTCCTCCTGCTGCCTCTCTTAAAAAAAAAAAAAAATTCTTGTCATGGAAATTTCTGTGTTTTTTTTTTTTTGAGTTGGAGTCTCACTCTGTCGCCCAGACTGGAGTGCAGTGGCCACTCCTGGCCACCTCAGCCTCAACCTGCTGGGCTCCGGCAATCCTTCTGCTCAGCCTTCCAAGTAGTTGGAACTACAGGCATGTGCTACCACGCCCGGCTAATTTTAAAAATTTATTGTAGAGATGAGGTCTCGCCAAGTTGTCCAGGTGGGTCTCAAACCCACGGGCTCAGGCAATCCACTCACCTCAGCCTCCCAAAGCACAGGATTACAGGCTGAGCCACCGATCCCGACTAATTTCTGTGTTTTTTAAACTTTCACTTTTCTTTGTTTTTTTTAAAATGCCAGTACACTTGTTTTTCTCTCTCTGTTCTGGGCTTTCTCCCTTCCCCTAGTCTTGGGACTTCTCACCTGTGAAACAAATCTTTTTTTATTTTTATAGTTCCAAAGGACTACTGTCTTGAAATTTACCATGTGAACCTAACCTAGGCAGAGGGAGCTACATGGTAGAGTTGCTACAACACAAGAAAACTTCCTCAATTGCATAAGAGAAACAAAATCTTCAACACAAAACTTCTGGTAACATCATACTTAATGGTAAAATACTAAAGATTTTCCCCTCTAGGTTCAGGAACAAAGCAAAGCAGCCCATTATCATCACTTCTATTCAGCACAGTACAGAAATCTTTGCCAATGCAGTATGACAAAAAAAAGGCATAAAGATCATAAAGAAGTATCTGCAGATGATAAGACTCTCCTAAAAAATTAAGAAAACAACTATGAACTAATAAATAAACTTTTCAAGGTTACAGAATACAAGACACAAAATATATAAAAATCCTGAATTGATCCAGCAAGGGGACAAGAAAGTATCTAAGTTGAAGTTGTCAAAACGATTCCTTCCACTCTACAAACTATAAGGAACAATGCCTGCTACTAGTACAAGGAGGTTTTCTCTATTTCTACATCTCCCACTAAATTCTTTTTGAGTTTTAAGAAGTCTAGAAACCTAAGTATTTAACACATTGTCCAAAATATATGTGGTACTCAATAAGTGCCAATTAATAAAAATTGGGTTTTAACTAGAGCATTATTCAAAACAATGTCAACGTCAAAATGCAAAGACATTTTTGCAAATAACTATAAAGTACCCAAGAGCCCCCACAACAGCATTTTCTACAGCGTGACAACAATTTTCTATACTATAGTTTGCTGATCTGAGATTCACTTCTAGAATGGAAATCATCCTCGTTGGATTTCCCAGACCAAGATTAGGGACTAACCACCAAATAAAGACAAGTTTAAAAAAAAAAAAGTCACGCCTGGGTTGGGCATGGTGGCTTATGCCTATGGTCCCACCACTTTGTGAGGCCGAGGCAGGAAGATAACTTGAGCCCAGGAGTTGGAAACCAGCCTGGGCAACACAGCAAGACCTGGTCTCAACAAAAAATTAGCTGAGTGTAGTGGCACGTGCCTGTAGTCCCAGCTACCTGGGAGGCTGAGGCAGAAGAATGGCCTGAGCCCAGGAGGTTGTGGCTGTGGTGAGCCATGAACGTGCTACTGAACTCCAGTTTAGGCAACAGAGTGAGACCCCAACTCACAAACAAGGGAAAAAAAAAAAAAATCACACCTGAAGCATAAGTATAGTACAAGTAAGCCAAATGTATTATACTACGACTTATTACAAATGATTCAAAATATACTGCTTATAATAGGTTTATCTGGCATTCAGGAAATGGATTTTTATTTTAAAATAAATTCTGACCTTTATTTCATCACCAATAAGATACTTAATTGCACAGTGGATAAATGTGGATAGTAAAATCCTGCAAGGATATAAAACACACAGAGAGCTCTGCCAGGTTACCCCAGCTTGGTATAACCAACTATTAACTCCACTTACCTAGGAGGAAGAGTGATGGGCCATAGTATTCTGCATTGCTGATAATGTGTTTCAGGGAGGTAGGCAGAGAACCATCCATTACTAAGAGAAAGTGAACATTAAGGAGAATAGAATCAGTCTGAAAATAGTGTGAGGAGTGGGGATAATGAGGAATATGTTACATATACCATACTGTGGTAAATAAAGTCCATGTTGATTCTAAAGTAATGGCTTGTACTGTCTCTTATTTTATTATTTATTCTCCGTCCATGAAATAAGCTAACAGTGGGCCAAAAACAAACAAACAACAACAACAAAAACACACAGATACGGAGAGCCAGAGAGGGATAGTAGGATAAAAGTGAGCACAGGTCTAGGAAAGTGACAGGAAACAAATGAAAGCTATTCAAAATAGCATGGCCTTTTCCTAAGTCTGTCTTGTAAAAGAATAGGTGTCAGAACAGTATGAAAAGGACCAGTCTTTGAAAGAGTCAAATATCCTTCAAAAATGTATCTGGAATAAAATACCATGTCGGATGCCATCTGAGAAAGCAGGGTCTTGAATGGCCTTCTTGAGGAAATTTAACATGGATTTGAGAAGTGCTGCTCGTTGTGGAATACACTGGACTCCTGGCAAGGGAGAAAGACGAGAATTATACTGGGTTCACTATTAAACCACAATGAACAGGCACATAAAACACAATTTTAAGAGACCCATATACACTAGCAAAACTAGCAGACATTTGAAGTGAGGTCTCTGGATGCTGGAATAATACTAAATTAAGACTTGAAATTGGAAAAATGAATTACCAAGAATGGCACAAGACAAATACTAAAATTAAAAGAAAAATTACAAAGTAAAAAGGTTCAACCCTCTGATCTCACTCAGTTCTCATTTTGGATGTTATCTGCCCTCCAACATGGTTTTTTGATAATCAACGTGCAAATTGTTGGAAAAGTATAAAGCACTATGAAAGCTATGTTAGTATAAGAATATGGAATACCAGAATGGTGATGTAACACGCATAGTCATAGGAAGCTAACCTCCAAATGTATCACTTAAGTTCTGTCTAAAGCCCTCTTCTTCACTAGTTTAATAACTCCGTCACTATTCAAGACTGCACATCTAACATGTATACGCACCAGGACGGGGGCCAGAACCAGGGCTGGAGCCGGGGCCGGGGCCGGGACCGGGGCCGGGACCAGGGCCGGGACCGGGACCGGGGCCGGGACCAGGGCCGGGACCAGGGCTGGGGCCAGAACCAGGGCCAGGGCCAGAGGAGATGCCAGTACTGCTGCTGGAACTTGATGCCCTTAATTCAATATCCAGCCGTTGCTCCACAGAGATGGATGAACCTGGACTGCTTTCCATAGTCACATCTGCAACTAAAGTACAAGTTATGACTTAAAAAAAAACAAACAAAAAAAATATTACAAAAAAAGGTACCACAAAAAGATTTTGTTGGAAAAAAATTTCTTTCATTAAAGTGAAATGACTTATATCACAACAAAGAACACTGAACCCCAAATGAAAATGTAAGCTTCCCACAAATAAATAAAAGGGTATTTAACATCATTAGTTAAGACATGCAAATCAAAAGCAATCTAACAAAAGAAGTCCGCCAATATTTCTCATCTACAAATTGGGAGAAGAGGTAGAGAGTGGTAACTACAACAAGTAATTCCATATATTATTAGTTGGTAGTAGATAGATGGTAGGCAGACCTTCTTAGGAGGGTAATTAATGAATATTAAAGGCATTAAAACATTAATACTCAACATACTGATCTGGAAAAATATCTATGAGCCAGTGAATAAACAATGCAAGACGAACAATATTTATGATCTCATCTTCCTGTTTTAAAAAATGGCATACTTATGTGAGCAGGTATTTGAAAGTACATTAAAAAGCCTTGAAAGAACCACACCAAACTAGTAGCTATGGTAGGTGGGTGAGCATTAATTTTTACTCTACACACTTAAATAATTTAATTAACTGATTATAAGAGTCATAATCACTGCTTAAAGTTTATAAAATACACTAAAGCTCCAAGTGATAAACCACCTTTACAAATGCTTTCTTTCAATCATTTTCAACCATATACATACATACCTTTTTCCCTTGTCTTCTTGAAACAGTTAAAATTGTAAAAGGCCCCATTCCACAGTCTATACTTCCACATCTTTATCAAGCAGACATTCAATATCTAGAATGTTTTGGGCATGGCAACAGCAAAAGAGACAGTATCCTGATACCATGGAGCTTATATTCTAGTGGTAATAAGACATCATAGAGTGACTATAGGGGTCTACTGCAGCTCGACCATCTGCTTCACCTCCTACCTCTATTTCAAACAACTTGTACCTTCCTTTTCTAATTATCCTTGTGAAAAACAACTTGCACTTCATTTGCAGAAAAAGTTTTTTAAGCTGGGCTCGGTGGCTCAGCCTGTAATCCCGCACCTTTGGGAGGCTGAGGTGAGTGGATTGCCTGAGCCCATGGGTTCTAGACCCGCCTGGGCAGGTGAGACCTCATCTCTACAATAAATGAAAAAAATTAGCCGGGCGTGGTAGCATGCGCCTGTAGTTCCAGCTACTTGGAAGGCTGGGGCGGAAGGATCGCCAGAGCCCAGCAGGTCGAGGCTGCAGTGGCCGGGAGTGGCCACTGCACTCCAGTCTGGGCTACAGTGAGACTCCAACTCAAAAAAAAAAAAGAAAAAGAAAAAGTTTTTTGTTGCTGAAAATATACACTCAAATGAGTTGAGTACTTTAGAATTTATGAGGAAGGATGAAAATTAGGGTGAAAAAACAAAAAAAATCTCAGACACAAATATACTGACTTAATAACTTAATTACCATCCATATCAGTTTCCATTTCTTCTCCTTCTTGCGTAGTACTGGGTCTCTGGATCTTTGGCTTGATCACAAATGGACATTCTTTTCGGCACAAATCAACTTCATGCTATAATCAAGGGAAAAGTAGTAAGAAAATCCTATATATATTTTACAGATTAAAAACAATTAAAATGAAAGAATGCTGCAAGTAGAGACAGAACTGAATTCTAGAAACAGAAGAGAGATAAGATAGTTCTTTAGGGTTCTTAGGACAGTTCCTAGGCTCAGCTCTTACTGAGTATAAATTCTATGCAAAGTATTCCTTATATATTATTATACCTCAAGTCTATAAATGAAGATAGAAAGTCCACTGTGGGACTGAAAAGCTGCCATGTCCAGGTTGGTGATGAGATCAACCACTCTGACAGCTCTGGTAACAAACGTAATCTGGTCCTGTTCATCACCAAGAAACTTTATGACCTATCAGAGAGAAAAAGGACAATGAACTAAAAGACACAAAGTTGTATAAATTTTATTCTCTTACATATATGCAATCTGGAGCCTCAGAGGGGTACAACAGTATAGGGGGAAAAAGCCTGTTTGATTTTTGGTGCTTCACAAAGGATAGCTCTATTACTTCTGGGACTCAATCTTTTCTGAGGTATGGAGGACATCAATTACTTCGCAGGAGTAAATAAAATATTCACAGAGAAGAAACCTAGTGCTTTGTGCCCAACATGTAATAAAGGCTATTTTTACTGTAATAGTTTTCTTAGGTTATCTGCTCTCATCGTGAAACATTCCAAACTTGCAACTCTGCACCCCTTCTTAGTTGATTTCTCAATGTATTAAAAAAAGAAAAAAGTACAGCACCTTCAGTAAGGCTTCCATCATTCCACAGGAGACCAAGGCTTCACCACCAGCATCATAGCTGGCTAGATGGTATAAAAAAGAGAAGAGAGCAGTGGCAAACTGGTGAGGGTATGGATCCATGGAAGGATCTACAAGGAGAGAGAAAGAGTAAGCTCAAAATTTGGTGTTAACCTGGCAGCATGCAAAAAACAGAAAAGGGCAGGAGTTTTCTTGCCTATGATAATCACCATCAAAACGTACCAATCATGGCCTGGATACAGTTCCGCACAAGTACTGGCAAAAATCCATGGTAGGAGGCAGTTCCAGTACAGTCAATAATACTGCTGAGTTTGGGAGTCCTTTCCAAGTGGACAATTGAAGTTAATGTTCGTAAAGAAGCAGCTTTAATCTCCTATGAGAACAGAAGGTAAACACAGAATGTGTCAAATAAAATGACTGAAACAAGTTCAAGTTGCCAGTATCCCAAACTCTAAACTTCAAGTCATTCTATAGGCAAGCATTTGCTAATCTTGCAGCTTAACATACAAACAGGAAGCAGTAAAAGGGCCAAGTTTCCCTTTGGGGGTTCTTACTAACCTCCTGGGAAAAAACAAGGGCAAATAGGTACAAGCCTGATATACAGAGAATATAAATACAGGATCCCTAATTCAGAAATCCAAAATATCCCAAAGTCCAAAACTTTTTGAGTACTAGCATGATGCCAAACGTGGAAAATTCCACACCTGACCTCATGTGGGAGGTCACAGTTAAAATGCACAAGATCATTTGAAAATACTGTATCTAATTGCCATTAGGTTTCATATATAAGGTACATATGAAACATAAATCAATTTCACATCTAGACTTGGACCCCATCCATAAGATATCTCATTATATATAAGCAAATATTTTAAAAAAATCCAAAACACTTTTGGTCCCAAGCATTTCAGATAAGGGATACTCAACCTGTAAATACTTACCATAAGCTGTTTATCTGTTATCTGAAGGACATCTACCAACTCCTCTATCAACCCATTATACAAGATACTGTTTGCTGATTCCTGCAAGGCATTGGAATATACTGCAAAAGGAGAGACAAACACTTTAGGCAAGAAGGCAGTGGTCAAGCCACTGCCCAATGACAAAATTTTTTGGCATTTACAGGTTCTGGGGAAGGACTCCCTTCCCAACCAGCATTGGAGGGCAGAATCACTGAATTTTAGATTGACCAAATATAGTGATGAGCTCTAAACAGCCAGTGAATTGACAAATTCCTTTATAAAAGGTATTGGTAGTCTTGAGCAATAATTTACAGGAATAGAAGTAGGAAATGAGAATGAACGGTTAATTTTTCACATCAATATTTTATATAATACCACTATGCCTTGGAGATAGACTTCCATTTTAACCTCTATATATGCTTCTGTTTTTAATGTAAATGCTTTTACAAGCTGTAAAGAACAGAATTTATGGACTATTGCATACTAACTCAGAAATTTGTATGACACTGAAGTAAAACTTGAGAATGCATGTAATCCACTTTCATAAATTTCACACTGAGAATACTGGGCATTTAGTTTCCAACAAACATTTCCTGATTACCCACAAACACGCCAAAAATTATGATAGGTTTGAGTACTAATACAAGAGCAAGAATTTCATAGCAAGCAACTCATAGTTAAAAAGAGGAAACAGGCTGGGTGTGGTGGCTCAAGTAATCCCAGCACTTTGGGAGGCTGAGATGGGAAGAATGCTTGAGGCCAGAAGTTTGAGACCAGTCTAGACAACATAGGGAGACTTTGTCTCTACAAAAAAATGAACTAGGCATGGTGCTGCACACTCGCAGTCCCAGCTACTGAGGAGGCTGAAGTAGAAGAAATGCCTGAGCCCAGGAAGTCGAGGCTGCAATGAGCCATGATCATGATGCCACTGCACTCAAGTCTGGGAGTCAAAGAGAGACTCTGATTCAAAAAAACCAAAACCAAAAACAAACAAACAAACAAAACCCCACAAAGGAGACAAACAAGTAGTAATAGAAGGAACACAATAACGGAAGTGGCAATCATTTTATACCTCCTGTGTGCCTGGCCTGTAGTAGGTTGCTTTCTAGGTTTTTATTTACTCCTCAGACCAGCCTCTAAAGTAAGCACTGTCTCAATATAAAATGAAGAAACTGGTCAGGCACAGTGGCTCATGTCTGTAATTCCAGCACTCTGGGAGGCTGAGGTGAGAGGATTGCCTGAACCCAGGAAAAGACCAGCCTGGGCAACATGGCAAGACCTCGTCTCTACAATAAAAAAATTAGCTGGGCATGGCAGCACACTCCTATAGTCCCAGCTACTTGGAAGGTTTATGTGCAAGGATCACCTGAGCCTAGCAGGATAAGGCTGTGGTGGCTGTGAGTGTGCCACTGCACTCCAGCCGGGGCAACAAAGTGAGGAGCCAACTTGGGGGGGGGAAAAAAAAAGAAAAAAGAAGTAACTGAAGCTGAGAGGATAAACATGTGACTAATAATCTACAGAATCAGGATGAGAACCCAGGTCTGATTCCAAAATCATGTGTTTTCTATTCTACTACCCCACAGAAAAATAAGTTAATTGCATAGTATTGACTACCTAATGAATATTCTCTGACCTTATTTCTAAATTATACCCCTGTAAGGATGGGAGAGGAGGAAGACAAAACAGCATGAGGAAGGGTAGGGGTGAATGGGAGATAACAACATGCATAATCATTAAAAAAAAAAAAAGACCCAAACCAAGACTAAACCCATGAGACATGTCAATAAGCATCATCTCCTCTTTCTGCTCCACCATTAAGGAGCTCAAGAATGATGAATGAATACAGTAAACACTGGAAAGGCTGGCAACTTTACAATTAAGTTGCTACCTAGGTAGCTATAATAAGCCTCATAGCACAAAGATGAGTGAAAGTTCAAAGGAAATCAAGCCCAAACTGTGTAATTAAAGCCTGTTAGTTATAATATTCTTCTCTTACCTAATATAGATATTGCATGCAGTCTGGCCTGAACAGCTTGCAATCGCTTCCTGTGATTAGAAAAGCCATGGGCCAGCCGTATGTGTGTAAATAACAGCATCTGTAGGGAGATAAAAACTATATTTAAAAAAATTAAACCGAAAAGGTGAATATTCTTTCTGGGGGCTAACTTGTTGGGCTGCTCGGTAAAACGGTTTACCGTTGCTATTGCTAAGGTATCAAACATAACTGCTTCCATCTGCTCTGAGGTTAGCTGACAAAACAGGAGTGAAACAAAGGCTCACAGAATCCTAATATCCCATTTGTTAGTCAAGCACTGCCACTATAATGATAGACAAAAAAAAAAGAACATTTGGTAAGAGTTCTGATGGTTATTAATCAAATTAAATATTTGATCACTGCCAAAATGAGCAGGAAAAAACCCCAACGCAACTAAATCCTTTCTCTTTTGATATCCCAATTGCTGAGAAAGCTATCACATATCAGATGCTCACAGCAAGTCAGGCAGTTTGTTTTCCTCGAACTCTCACCAGGACCTAGGGAAGTCACTAAGTGTTGGCCTCATAAAAGACAAGAAAACTAAGGTTCACAGAAGCTAATTTGCCCATGGTCTGAATCCAAAGCTGACATTCTCCCATCCCAGCATTATCACTAGTCTACTTGGATAACAACCACATCCTCTGGCTATTTTAAAGATATATCCTACCTGCTTATCTTTAGGAATGCTGTACATTTTGGTAAGAGATTCCATGATTTCAGAAGGGCTTTCTGAAATCTACATTAGAAAAAAAATACAGTTAGAAACAAAAAGTGAACTAAACATTAAGAAATGAGCCAACAGTCACAATTTCTCTTACCTTGTCAAGTTGTTCTATGTGAATATAATGTAGTGTATTACTAGTTGTCTGAAATTAAAAAGTTAAAAGAGCTGTTAGGAGTCATGAACACCCCAGTTTCCTCTGCCACAGAACTCCAATAGCCATGTGAAAACCAAGGTATCACCCTAACTGAACACTCTTAAAATCACAGTAGTTTTAGAGTCCTCCAAAACAACCATTTTATAGAATATTATTAGGAAAGCTTCTTTGAAACCAGGAGTAAATCTATAATGCACATACCATAGAACATTTCATATCTTTGTCCTTTTAAAAAAATTTTGAGTTGGGGTTTTATTCTGTTAGCCAGGCTACAGTGCAGTTCATGGTTCACCACACAGCTTTGCTCTACTAAGCTCAGCCTCCCAAGTAACTAAGACTATAGGCACATGCCATCATGTCCAACTAATTTTTTTTATTTTCTGTAGAGATGAGGTATTGCTATTTTGCCCAGGTTGGTCTTGAACTCCTGGACTCAAGCAATCCTCCTGCCTTGGTCTCCCAAAGTGCTAGGATTATAGGCATGAGATACTGCGCTCGTCCTTCTTTCTCCCTTTTCAGTCTTTCACTAACTTAACCCCCACAGCCTCAATATTCATAGCAAAGAGTGAATCCATGAAAATGGTTTTTCTCTGAATACACACTCAAGTTGATTTCAAGACAATATAAATCTAGAAATATTATCTATTTAACATAGGTAGAAGAAAAAGGGTCTTATTCACTAGGCTACTTCCAAACCAAATGTTTTAGTATCTCCACAAAAAATATGGGATGACCAGATACTTTAAGACTCTATATTCACGGCTAGGCTCGGTGACTCAGCCTGTAATCTTAGCACTTTGGGAGGCCGAGGCAAGTGGATTGCCTAAGCCTGTGGGTTCAAAACCAGCCTGGGCAACTTGGCGAGACCTCATCTCTACAAATAAAAAAAAAAATTAGCCGTGCATGGTAGCGTGCGCCTCTAGCTCCGGCTACTTGAAAGGCTGAAAAGGAAGGATCGATGAAAACCAGCAGGTCAACGCTGGAGTGGCCGTGAATGTGCTACTGCACTCCATCCTGGACAACAGAGTGAGACTCTGACACAAAAGAAACCAAAAACAAACTCTATTCACTATATATAGAGACTTCTTACAGGACGGCTCAAGTAGAGAAACCCAAGCTTTCATTATCCAGACTATATTACACATCATGTTGGAATTCTTAACTGAGACCATGAGAAAAATACATGTCCTACCAGTGTCCCTTAACAGGAGCTCTGTCTTTTAGCAGCTCTTAACATAAATAAGTACCATCCCAACTGGAGATGGTGATTGCAGTGAACACTTATTCCTGAGAAGCTGTTAGGCATATTTAACTTAGGAAGGTAGCAATGCATCTCAAAACCACTGCTTCATTTTCTAGAACTGAGGAGGTCTAGAAAAGTCAATCCCATTTACAGGTAGATTGTAGACTATCAGAAAAATTCTGAATGACTCACCCTTTTCTCAATTTTGACCTCGGCTCCAGGATCTGCATAGAATTCAAAGTGTAGTGTAGTTGCACTGGGTGGGTATTTCTGTGTATAAAGTATATCAAAGAGTCAGACACTGAGTTTCATCTGATTATAGACAAGGCAAATATCATCTCCCAATTCTCCCCTCAAAGTCCAGCCACTTCAACTCACTATGGCAACAGAATGAGCAGTACATTTAGTTCCTATGAGTTGGGACCCCCCCCAAATGAATTTATTTATTTAAAAAAACATGTGTTTATTCTTATATGTCTAAACTTCAACTACCTTCAAAGTACTCTCCATCTGATGCACCACACCTACCGAGATGCTTTATTCCACTACTCAAAACAGTTTTTGAACTCGTCAAATTTGATGCCTTTTAGTGTTTCTGTCATTTTTTGTTTCACCTCTTCCACACTGGCAAAACATTTGCTTTTGAGGACTTTTTTCATCTGGGAAAAAAGTCACTCGGGATGAGACTGGGTCAATAGGGAGGGCGGGGCACAGAGGTTATCCTGTTTTTGGTCAAAAACTACTGAACACTCAGCATGGTATGGGCAGGAGTGCTGGTAAATCGCCCATCAAGAAATGGGCAAATGCAATGAAAGAATCTCTAAAAAATTTCACTGAAGCACTATGCAGCCTCTCACAATGTTACCTGGTACACTGATGCCAATGGGTTCCTAGAACACTTACCTAGTAGGTGAAGCCTGTACTACAAGGGGCTCCCCTACAAAAATAATTGTTTTGCCTTTAACTCCTTGTCCTAGAGCAGGGCTCAAGTGGGATGGCATGTGTTCAAACAAAATCGGGAGGAAGGAGTCCAGAGCTCCAAAAGCTTCCACTTTTTACTTGTAAGTTACTAGCTGCCTTTCATTTCAAGAGATCAATTTTGACTGTAGCTATTTCCAAGGGGGAAAAGATAGGCAAGTCTGCCAAGCAGTTTGAATAAGAATCCAAGAAAGGGCAGAGAACAAATATAAGGGTACAGGTACTAGCTAAAGAATGGGAAATAACAATTTCATGGAAACCTTAATGTTTTATCATCAAACTTCTGAAATATTTTATTTAAAGTATGCCTCATGGGCATATCTTCATAAATCTTCACATACTTTCCACCATTCTACACCACTTCTCATGATTATGCATTTTTCCGCACACACAGAAACTATGTCAACATAAACCAGACCCTGACATCACATTCTCTTTAATTCTAGGAAAGCAACAAGATGAGCAAGATTAAGATCACAATAGTATGTCTGTTAAAAATATCTCTTTGGGAGACATCACTAGCAGTGGTTGCCTCTGAGGATCAAGAAGTTACCATTGTATACCTCTTTACACTGAATCTTAAAAAATGTATATGTATTACTTCACCTTAAAGTACACATCATATTTTTAAAAGTCTCATGACATGCCAGATCTCAGTAAATAAAAGAATGTATGAATTCTTAACACAGGCTGGGACTAAGAAGAGTAACAGACATCACATAAGCCTAGTACAATATATCATACTGTTTTGCCCGAGGGGCAAAGAACAAGCTTTCACATGTGTAAGGAGGCTAAGAATTAACCAACTAAACCTTAAGATGAAAATTAGGTTCTCATAACTCCAAACTCTGAGTATACCCCAGGATTTATGTAGTTGTGATTATTAAACAGAAAACACTCATTCCCATATCATCCAATATCTATTCATAAAATAGTCAGTAAAGGAAATATACCAGATAAGGTAGGAAAGTAACTTGCTCTAATTTGTGTTTTTTTGTGACCAGAAAAAGAGTCATTTTTCTGGGGGGAAAAGGCGTGCTAAGATAAAAACACTAAATTTCACTGCAGTCATTTGTGCTAAACATGACAAACTGACTAGATAAACTATATATCTGCTGGAAAACCAGTTGCTTCTAGGCACAGAATTGTCATTGGAAATCCAATTGTGTTTTGTGGTTCCACAGCAACATAAAGCAGAAGGGAGGATGGCTTAAGCTCATTACTTAAACATCGGTGAAAGGGAGAGAGGTAAACACAGAAAGTACACAGAAGAGTGTAAGTTCTCAAGAAGCCTAGCAGTAGAACTGCTCTCCAAGCAGCCATTCTTAAGTGCATGCCACAATGTCCAGAGCTCGATAGTTCCAGTGTGAATATAAGCAAACGTAGTTTCTGGGATTTAAAAAATCACTTTCAAACTAACTCAACAAATGCATCTCCCTACTCAAGAACTGAATATGAACATATACTGTGTCTCTTGAGATTCTTTATCTACCAACAGCACATCAAGAGTCCAAGCACTGCTACACTGCTTCCTAAGGTCTGCCATATTTCAAATGATCTAAGGTTCTTCAAAGGTCCTGATATGAAGTGATAACTTCATATACCATATATTTATTGAAAAGTAAGGCTCAGAAAAGGACCATAGCTCTGCCAAAAGACACCCATATCCCAAAGAGTTACTTACCATCATATGCAAGTCTCTGCAACATTCTGCAAGTCCAAAGCCATTCTCTTTTCCACCCCAGCTCTTGGAAAAGGAAAAAGACAGTGTTAAGACAGTGCTTATGGTGCCTTGTGTGTAAAACATTTAAGAGTGTGTAGCAGCTTGGAGCATAGTGTTGAGAAGACATCCAATGTGAAGATCAAACAAGAAGAGGAAGCAAACAGAAGCAAGAACTTAAGACGCCAGGCAAGATGGTCTAAATCACCTAAGGGTGATTTCTTCAATAAGATCATTTTCACTGTTCTGTGAGGATGTTCCCAGGAACAACATAAGCAGTAATTGCCAGTCACTGCATTCTACACTCCTGTAATCATGCTTGCTGACAGGTCAGTCATGTCCCATCAGGCCTTGCCTGATGCTCTGCCTGCTCATCTTCCTCACTAAGATAAAACCACCCACTTTTCGGTTCCTCTCATTCTGACATAAGCTGTTACAAAGCAGAAGATTCTATCTTGTTTATTACTATTGTATTTTGCCACTGAAATCTAAAAACCTCTCAACGAGCCCCTCAGGTAATAGGAGGAAAGGCTCAAATGGCTTCCAAATCTGAAACTCCAGTCATACCCTCTTGTTTATTAATCAGCCTGCATCTTCAAAAGTCTTTGAAATATCAATCATTTTAGCATTAAGAGCTTTATTTTTTTATTTATTTACTTTTTTTTTTAGTTGAAGTCTCACTCTGTCGCCCAGACTGGAGTGCAGTGGCCGCTCCCAGCCACTGCAGCCTCGACCTGCCCAGCTCCGGCAATCCTTCTGCCTCAGCCTTCCAAGTAGCTGGAACTACAGGCACGCGCTACCACACCCGGCTAATTTTTTTGATTTATTGTAGAGATGAGGTCTTGCCAAGTTGCCCAGGCAGGTCTTGAACCCGCGGGCTCAGGCAATCCACTCACCTCAGCCTCCCAAAGCAGGGATTACAGGCTGAGCCACCGAGCCCGGCTTAAAAGCTTTATTATATTTCTACATGTAAATATCTCTCAGTCATCCCAGCTGCAACTATGAGTGTCAACTAATTACTTCTACTCTTCCCTTAATTCTGTAGGTAATCCATGTCTGGCATGGTTCAAGCACAACTGCCATTTAAATCCATGTCTTTATTTTATTCCCACCAACCCAGTGTGGTACCCAATTACCATGGATCTAGGCTACCAATGAAGCCTAATATGGCACACTCTCTCGCTACATTTAAGTGTTCTCTCCTTGTAAAATGCTGTTATCATGTCGTCACCACCTCCCAAGGAAGTCTTAGAAACAAACTAACAGTGTAAATTATTGAAGTCACCATTCACAAGGGTATCTATTATAGAATGCTATTTCTAAACTTGAAAAATCAAATAAAAACATCAATCAGTCTACCCCTTGAGAAATCAGCTTTCTCAAACTACACTTGGCCTACTGGTAGCCTTTCTCAATCCAGGTATATATGAAGCACAGAACACAGAAAATGAAGAGTGATAATTTTATTAATTATCCAAAGAATGGTACATAACTGGAACTCTAGAAACACAGAAGGGGAAGCCATTTTGTTATATATACATACATACATATATATGTATGTATATATGTATGTGTGTGTGTGTGTGTGTGTGTGTGTGTGTGTGTGTGTGTGTGTGTGTATGAAATGGATACCTTAGGGCATTAGGGTTTACTTCTCTAGTGGAAATCTGAGTGAGAAAGGCTGCCTGGAGACAGATATGTATGCCTCCCACTCTCAGCTGGTTAAAAATGGACTATTTTACTAGGAGTGATGTCAATGAAAATGCCAGAAGAGGGAACCCCAAAAGTCTATCCCTTCACAAAAGCAGTGAATAAAGCAGCAAAATCTATTTAGAATAATCTTTATCAGAACTCTGAAAACTAATAAAAAAAGTTTAAAGCAACCAGGCAAATGCTTAACGGAGGAAAACAAAACAAAACCAGCTGAGTCTCAGTAAGAGAGCTTTGGTCCTGCCTCAGCTGAAAACTAAGTCTGAGGTGTGAGGTGCTTTGAGGAATAAGGATTTTGAAAAGTATTCCTGGGAACCCAAACAGCCACAAGTATGCCCAGGACTGACACATCCTTGGAAAAGACCCGAGGAGGTCCTAAGCTCCCACCTCTGACTGACCTTCAGGCTCTGTACAAGGAAGAAGAGAAGGCTAGGGTAGAGTTGTAAACTTCCTGGCTGAATATTGAAGGTGTGCCCAAAATACACTCAGAGCTCATCTGCAAAGATTGGGCAATCATTTTTTCAGATTCCAGGTGTTTTAAGGCAAATCATTATCTAACCACTAAACTATTAAAACAGACACTAGAACAGAGAGTTCAATGGCCACACACAACAAACAACACACACTTTATGAAATTAGTTTAGAGAAGTCACTAAACAAATAACCCCAGCACATAGCAACAAGCCCTGGGGAGGGGTGAGGATCTGGTAATCAGAGATGCCACATTATAATAGTCAAAATAGCTAGTTTTCAACATAAAAATTATAAGACATGAACAGGAGGAAAAAAAAAACTATGACTCACACGCAGGAAAAAAAATTAACAGAAACTGTCCATGAAGAAATCCAGACATTGGACTTACTAGAGAAGACTCTAAATGAACTCTTTTAGATATGCTCAGAGAGCTAAAGGAAATCATGTACTAAGAATCAAAGGAGCCAGGGTGCGGTGGCTGATGCCTGTGGTCCAGCACTTTGGGAGATGGGGGCTAGAGTTGGAGACCAGCCCAGGTAAAATAGAGAAAGCCCATATCTCTAGGCAAAAAAGGAAACCATGAGAATAATGTCTCACCACATAAAGAATATCATTAGGGAAACAGAACTTATTTTTAAAGGAATCAAAAACAAATTCTGGAGCCAAAAAGTACAGTAACATGAAAAATTCACAAGAGGGTTTCAATAGCAGATGCAAACAGGCAGAAGAAAATCAGTGAACCTCCAAATAGGTCACTTGAGACTACACAGTCTGAAGAACAAAAACAAAAAAGACAAAATGAGAAGAGTCTATGCATATATGTATAATGCAAGTTCCATAAGGAGAGGAAAGAAAGAAAATGACACACAGGGATAATTTTTTTAAATAATGGCTAAAAACTTCCCAAGCTTGAAGGTCTGTATCTACAAATCCAAGAAGTTCAATGTTCATTCAAGTAGGACAAATCTAAATAGAGCCATACATATTGTATGCTCAGAAGTCAAAGACAGATTCTTCAAAGTACAAGAAAAGTGACTTGTCATAGACAAGGTCAACAGCTGAATTTTCATTAGAAACCATGAGGGTCAGAATGTAGTGAAGTGACATATTCAGAGCACTAGAAGAAGAAAAAAAAAGAAAACAAAACTCTATCAACCAATAATTCTGTATCCTGTACAAACATCTTTCAAAAATGAAGAAGAAATTAAGACAATCTCAGATAAACAAAATCTCAGGGAGGTCACTGATAGTAGACTTGCCTACAGGAAATGCTAAAGGGAGTCCTTCAGACTGAAATAAAAGGGCACTAGACAGTAACTTGAATCCACAGAAAGAAAGAACACCAGTGAGGTAACTGCATAGGCAAATATAAATGTCAGTATAAGTGCATTTTTGGTTTATAACTCCTCTTTTTTTCAAAATGTTTTTAAAAGACAACTGCCTAAAACTATACATCTATGCTGGTGGGTAAACTTTAAATATAGTCTGTGATAACAATATAAGTAAAGGGTGGGAGAAGAGAGTGATAAAAGAGCAAAGTTTTTGTCTGTTAAAACTAAGCTGACGTTAAACTTTTTGTAAATTAAGATGTTAGCTGCAGTCCCCAAAGCAAACACTAATAACTGGATAAAAGAGAAAAAGGGAAATGTAACACTTGAACACTAAACTAGATTGGACAGACATATTTAGAACAGAAAACAAAGAGCAGAGTGGAGATAAATAAAAAATTAAAAAATACCAACTAAAGCAAAAGTTGGTTCTTTGAAATAATCAACAAAAATAGACAAGCCTTTAACTAGACTGACCAAGAAAAGATATGCGTTCTTCCTTTTTCTGAAAATATAACATAGAAAGGAAGAAACAGAGAAAAGAGAAAGACATAAGACTGGGAGTAAAATATTTATCTTTAACACCAGCAACAAGTTACTGGATTTCTCTGATCTACAACTTCAAAATCGAGCCTATGTATAAAACTGAGAAAAAAATGCCTACAGCATCTATCTGAGAATTAAATGAGACGAGACATGTAAAGTACAAGGTCCAACATTCATTAAGAACTTAATTAGAAGCCAGGCTCGGTGGCTCAGTCTGTAATCCCGCGCCTTTGGGAGGCTGAGGTGAGTGGATTGCCTGAGCCCGCAGGTTCGAGACCCGCCTGGGCAGCGAGACCTCATCTCTACAATAAATCAAAAAACCAGCTGGGCGTGGTAGTGCATGCCTGTAATTCCAGCTACTTGGAAGGGTGAGGCGGAAGGATCGCCGGAGCCCAGCGGGTTGAGGCTGCGGTGGCTGGGAGCGGCCACTGCACTCCAGTCTGGGTGACAGAGTGAGACTCCAACTCAAAACAAACAAAAACTTAATTAGAAGCACTTACTGCTAAATATGACCACATAGTCACACATTAAAGATATTCACTGTGGGTCATAGTGACTCATGCCTGTAATCTCAGCACTTTGGGAGGCTGAGGCAGGAGGACTGCTTGAGCCAAGGAATTCATGACCAGCCTAGGCAACAAAGTTAAGACTTCGTCTCCATGAAAAAAAAATCAAAAAGTAAGCTGTGTGTGGTGGTGTACACCTGTAGTCCCAGCTACTTGGAAGGCTGAGGCAGATAGACAGCCTGAGCCCAGGAGGTCTAGGTTGTGGCCGTGCCACTGTACTCCACAGCCTGGGCGACTGAGGGAGGCCCTTGACTTAAAAAAAAAACAAAAAAAACCCAAATATTCACTGTGGCATTATTTACATTAGGAAAGTACAGGAAATTACAAAAAAAGATGAAAAAGTAAATTGAGATAACTACAGATGGCATGATTGACAGTATTTATGGAAGGTATAAACTAAACT